AGCCATAAAGGCCATGAAGGCAAGGACAAAGCAATAGAGATCTGAGAATCAAAGGAGGGATGCAAAGGAATGCACAAAGATTTAGACTTGTCCTTGGTGTGGCAACAAAAAAAGGAAGAAAGGTCAATCAAAGATGATATTGAAGTTATGGGCGGTTTCGATTTGTTTTACATGCTGCAGCAAGGAAAATCAACTTTCACTTACTAAACACTGTAGTTCCTTGAACCTACCTGAAGAAATTATGTTGGAGTTTTGAGGAGACAGAGAGGAATTCTGCATATTTGCCACTGTTTGCTTGTTTTAAATTTGTACTTCACGATACTGCATTCCAAGTGAGGGAGCGTTCACTCTGTTTCTGCTGTTTGTGGTAGGGAACTTTGTTTTCAGTTGTTTTAAAAGACCGTAAAAATACATAAGCCTAATACTGCGGTAAGAATCTCCTCTGTTTTGGCGACAATGGTACATATTTCCAGAAAGACACAGCAGTGTGTGTTGCAGAAACATGTGTTAGCCAGAATAAAATCTCATTCTGTTGTCTTGGTGCTACATACAAGACAGCTGCAAAAAATGATAGCAAGAAAAGAGATTCTTCACTTTCACCTCCCCGCTAGCAAAAAAGACAAAGAGAAGAAAGAGCTTTAAAAAGGCATTGCAATAAACATTGTCTGGCTTGACTATCATGTTATAAAGGAAACTGTAGCATACTTAAAAGATAGTTGCAAGTCAGAGTTTCTAAGGAGGTTTTTCTTCTGAATGTTCTTTGACTTGATTTGATAGCCTTATTTTGTTCTCATTATAGGCCATTCTTCAGAGAAGTACAGAATTGTAGATGATCAAGGTGGTTTGTCAGAAATAGACTAATTTGCACTTTTCTTTTTGTTGCCTTTTAATGAAATCAATGGAAAAAAAAAAAGCAGAAAAAAACCTTGCAAGCCTGTGACCACATTTAGTTAAAAATGTCTTTGTTTATAAGGGGCAATAAAGGAGTTACCAAATTCTTCAGATATGTTTCAGATTATTATAAAAATTTATACCTTGCACTATAAAATATCAGGGCTCCCACCATCCCAATTTGCAAATCACCAGCCACTCACAGAAACCATGTGCATAAAACCCCATCTAGCCCAGCATAATAACAATGTGCATTAAAGTTATTATACTAGGAAATACAGAACTTTATATCTTCAAAGATGCTACAAAAGGCCCCCAAATGATAGCAATTTGCATTACAGATTTCAATTTCTTCTTGAAGGTAATTTTTTTCACTATTGAATCCTTGATCTTCTCTATGTTTCTAAAGTTGTTGTTTGCACTCAGTTTCACGAGCATTTCTTTGTGGCGGTAGACCTGTATTGTCTTAGAGTTTCATACCATACTTGCTCATTTTAAATGAGGGTTTATACAATGCAGTGCCCTTATTCCCAAAGGCAAACTCTTGCTTTGACTGAGTAGACTTTTGAGAGAAAAATTCTCTGTCCCGTGTCTGTAGCATTGTGTGATATGCACAGCACATACAGCAGTGACAAAAAAGATATTCCTTGATGAACAGAATGTATAAAAAGAAAAATGACAAGAAGATGTGGCATTAATGCTACGGTGTTTGTTAAACATTTACTTTGAATTTTTTTTTTCCTCTACAGTGTAAGGTGGAGGCAGAAGGGACCCTGGGAGCCTACTACGAAAGCTTATAGGGAGCAGTACAGCTAGCTGGTTCTGTTTAAAACAGAAAAACCTGAGGGTGAATATAACATATATGAAAAGGAGAAGGAGAATGACTTTGGAAAGGAAGGTGCTGTGCATAAAACAGAACAGCATTAGGCCAGTTCTGTATGATCAATACAGAAAATTAACCCTGGTTTACATATTGGCTTTCTGCATTTCTGCAGGATTCAGACTGTTTCCAGGAGTTACTTGGGCTGACATGTGTCGTCCTTGTGTTGAAACGATTCTGAACGTGCTCTTGTCTCTCTCTATACTTTGCTTCCCTTTCAGATATACCCTGTGCTGAGACAGATGATTTACAGCTCCAAATCTGTTCAGAAGCCAGTGGCTGACACTTTTGCGTGTGCGTGCATGTAGTGTTTGCATATGCGCATGTGCCTGTGACCTTGGTGCAGTCAGGACACTCAGAGCAGCTATTCTGATTAAACTCCAGCTGACAGTCTGTAACCTGACGATAGTCATTAACTCAAAGACTATCCCATTCCACCAGATTAGCAGCTGTGCGACTTCCAGCCCTGCTTTCTTAGTGTCTGAATACTAGGACGCAGCAGAAATAGTCTGATGTAATAGTTGGTAAATTTAGCCTCCAAAATTAATTAAAAATAAACCAAACTGACCACAGGAAACATTTCTACCCTTTGCCCTCTTCTTTTTTAATAGTAAACTGAGCATCAGTTTCTGACAAATCACTTTAATTTCCTATGGGGAACATTATTGATTGTCAGTCAGGGGACATAGAGGTAAAATATGTGATTTATCCATCTTGTTCAAAATTATTATTTATTCCCATTAACACTGCAAATTTCTCCACAGTTCTGCCCATAACTTACAGATAGATGCCTGGATAGTTGTCGTGGTGGAATGCTTCACCATTGTGCTGTAGTGAAAAATTGCAGAGTCAATATTTGTTATCCACCTCGCTGTTGCCAGGAGAATGGTCGTGAGACTGGAAATCCTATTAGCAGCCATATGATGCTTTTTATTTTAATGATTTCCTGCAAATAAAATGAGAAGATCACGGCAGGAAACTAATAAATTATTATGTACTGTGTGGTACATGCTCTTACAGTGAAGCAGTCGAGAAAGGTTCAAGTTCACAGACACAGCACATTTAGCTTGGATGTCAGTAAATCTCCAGGAGACAGCGAGGCACAACCCAGGGAGGCAGAATGGGGATGGGATTGTAAAAAGAGCAGAGGGAGTACAAGGCCTCCACTGCTTCTCAAGTGAAGTGGTTTCTAGCAAGGTGGTCTTGGTGCCTGGGTGTTGGATGCAATGGCAGATGCATGGTAGTAGATGTTTCCGGTTTGTGTGGCTCCGAGACTTGTTACACTGGATCTTCAAGCAGCTACAGGAGTGTTGTTGCACTGCACCAAATATTCCATTTCCAGCTATTGATGAAAGATCACAAGCTGTCACTTACCAGCCAAGAATAAGTTTTCTCTTGCCCATCATGTCTTGATATCTAGAGTGTGTTCAAGCCACATTCATCATTGACTGAGCTCTGCACTGGAACAGTCATGGTCTGACAGTCAGTCTGAATTCTTCTGTTTATCACACATGCTGGGACAGGGTTTTTGAAATTTTTTATTTTTTAATTATTTGGTAAGGAATGGCTGAAATTATCTATTTTGTCTAGGAGCAGGAGGAAGACTTCATCTGAATCCAGACTAATGTGTTAAGAAAAAAAAAAAGTAGGGACATCTGCTTAATCACGACAAAACATGCGATTGTCTCAGACATCTCACCACCCATACATATATTTATATATACCCCAAAATGGCTAGTTTCCTAACAAGAATTTGAGGACTGGTTAAGCATGAGGATTACAGTTTATATTCCATGCAGACATGTTGAATATAAACATATAGCAGTTCTGAATGAATGTGATTTGTCATGGGGAAGGGCAACTTGTGAGAGCCTGTGAGCTGTAGTCAGCAATGCATTGTAGTGTAGTCCAGAACAAAAACACTTATCATCAAAGAGAGAGGCCAGTAATAAGACGGGCAGTTGTTCTGTCAGTTTGACAGTATTGCGGGGTGTTTATAATGCATACAATACTTCCTGTTGCTCTGTATTTTATTGTGTGTAGGTGCTCACAATATCTCCATTATGGATGCATGTTCTAGTGACCTCTCCCGGAAAAAAAAAGTCTTAAGGAGTAAATTCTTTATAAGACCCTAATCCCTTTTTATTTGTGTAGCCTGAATGAACAGCTCCTATAGCTGAATAATTCCTGCCCTAAGGAGCATTCTTGAATTACTTTGCATTAGTCTAGGAAAATGTGCCCTGTTCTCTGCCTAGCTTTTTTGCCCCAGGAGAAGACTGGGAGAACAATGGTTGTCAGTCTCCAAGAGGCAAGGCCTGGCTTCCAGTCTCTGCAATTGAGGCTTTCCTGTTGTACTGCTGTTATCAACAGAACATAAAAATAAAGTCAGACCATTTGACCATATGATTAGCACATTCCTGTTGAACTGTAGGTGACCTTAATCTTCTATCTGTTTACAGAACTCCCATGTTTCTCACTGAAGCAAAATTTCTTCCTTAACATTAAGGTTTTTCTTCTGATGCTGAAATAACCTCTGAGTGGTTTGCTTATAGGGTTTTAATGGGCTGGACTGGGGCAGAGAAGAAAAGATGCATTTGAATGATTGTGAAGACACATTGGATAACCACATTTGTAACATTCAGATGAAGTTTGACCATGTAATCTTTAATTTCTATTGCTTGGTGAAACATTTCATGTGTTTTCTTTTACCCTATCAGTATATTGCAAGATTGAAAAGGAAATACTTGCAATTATGTAAATAAGTAAGAACTTCTGGATTTGAAAAAAATAATAATCTTATATTGAGTAAGCTTTGCAACTTCCTTATGGGATTCAGACAGTTGTTTATGGATGTAGACTACATTTTTTTACTTTTTAAAGCTAGCAAGACTTCTCTGTGTAAATGGAAGCTCACTGCAACCACAAGTGTAATTTGACAGTGGAGAGTCATAATGAAGAGTTTTGACAATGAAGAGACTAGAACTTGCATTTACTTCACAGCTTCACATTTTAAAATGTTTGCTTTTATGCTTAAGAAATTAATTTGTGTGCATAAATTAAGTTCTGCCTGCCTGCCAGGATCATTAAGGACCAAGGAAAACTGAAGATGTACTATGTAACTATTTCCATTTTATAACTTTTTTTTTAAAACAGTTTACTCATAGTATCTTCAGTGCTGTAACATGAGCTGTTATAAAACTGCTGTAAATTTTTCCTTCTACCCCTTCAGCATGTGACAGTGACCACTGGGGACCTCACTGCAGCAGCCGCTGCCAGTGCAAAAACGGAGCCTTGTGCAACCCCATCACTGGAGCCTGCCACTGTGCATCGGGTTTCAAGGGCTGGCGCTGCGAGGAACGCTGCGATCAAGGGACGTACGGAAACGATTGCCATCAGAAGTGCCAGTGTCAAAATGGAGCCACCTGCGACCACGTGACTGGAGAGTGCAGATGTCCTCCTGGATACACTGGTGCCTTGTAAGCAGGGGGTATATTATTTATGGGGGAGAGATACAAGTTTTAAGTAGTGCTAACAAGAGAAATTAAGTTTAGATTAACTTCTTACACTATGTGGTTCGTCTGGCTGCTGCGTAATGCAGGAAAGCTGGGCTGATGACTAAGAAGCAGCTGGGCAAACTAGGTTGCAGTGCCATTCAGATGTGTAGCTGAGTGAAAGCTCTCTTGATCTGGACTGCTAAGTAGAAGCCACGAAAAGTAGCAGCAGGAGCTTCTTCATGACCACCATGAAAAAAGTTTGGCTACAAGTTTGGAAAATTGTATTGAAACATGGAGTTACTTGGCTTTGTCATTCCAGAATAGATTTTGAGCTTTGTCAGTAACAACAGATAAGCACTAACCACTGTAGAAAGAAATATCTTTAGGAAGAAATAATTCCTAGAGTGCCGGGTCTGTTTCCTTAGATTTGTTGCATGGATGCTATACCATATTCAGTGTGCATCTCCTCACGTTGGACTACTTTCTGTTTTGTGCTTTTGTCTGGAAAAGTTAACGATAGCATTAAAAATAAAGAAGTGGCTGGAGGCTGAAGTTTGTGCCAAAGTAACGATTGTCTCTTTTGTACACCACCACCTCCCCAGCTGCGAGGACCTTTGTCCCCCCGGGAAGCATGGGCCGCAGTGCGAGGAGAGATGCCCGTGCCAGAACGGGGGCGTCTGTCACCACGTCACCGGGGAGTGTGCCTGCCCGCCAGGATGGATGGTAAAACACTTTCTGAAATCGACACAACCCCATAAAACTTCCATATTTGTAGATTTCAGGCAGCATCAGAAAAAGGTACCAAATGAGGATAGCAAACGCAGTCTGCCTGTAGCCAGGAGTAATGAGAAACGTATTTTAGCATAAGGGGTTGGAATAAAATACTTGCAAAACCATCTGTTACTGAAAATCCTCCAGTTCTGTGCTGCCTTTTTAGCCATATCAGATTCTAGGAAGCAGAAGACATGAATCGTACTGTGACAAGGCAAAATCCTTTAGATCTTGTCTGGAAGTCATTAATTTCTAGATATAATTTGATATTATAGGGAGGTGACACCATTATTTAGCAGTGGGTTTTATGCCTGTTTTCATATATATAGTATGCATGGCAAAAGTCACAAACCTTTAGACACTGTGTTAAATGTTGGTGATAGAAATGGTACATCAGAACTTTGATGCTATCTTTAGACGGAGCTGCAAGTAGCCTCCCCTACTACCAGGCTGCCTACTCTGAGTTGGCAGATAATGGAGTTGGAAGGTGATCAAAAGGCTGGAAGGTGATCAAAGCCCAAATAAGTTCTTTAAATGCATTTGTAGATAATATTGATCAATAGTATTTGTTAATAATGTTTTCTATTTAAATGTCCATTTTGGGTGAAAATCCACATTTACTGAACTTTTAATTATCTCATGATAATTAAGATATTTTATGGAGATAATCTGTGACAGAAGTCAGTTTTTCACCAACTGGAGAGCATAGTTATAAATGATCATGTCTGTATGTTTGAACAGAGCACCACTCATCTGACTACCTAACTTGGATTATGGCCATTTTTACTTTTGATTCTACTTCATGTTAGAAGAATGAAATTATTAGTCATAAAATACAAATAAATTCTTGATATAAATTCTTGGATAAATTCTTGACTCCCTTTATCTGCCTACATACAGCTAATGAAAGATAAGATAGCATATGAAGCAGTGATGGAAATTTTATATTAGTGTGTGTCTTAAGTAATAAATCACTGTTTAGCCCTTTGACTAATTTTCCATTCCAAGTAGTTATTTAAGCATAACTCTTTGTTAGTTTTAGATTTTTCAATTCTGTGAAACACAATTTTGTCCGTATAACATTTTTTTGCTTTTCATGTAAGGAAGGTTTAAAGTAGCCAGGTATAAATTCTACAGTATCTTACGTTAACTGCATGTCTTACGTGCATACCTGCATGTCTTTTGTTTCATGAAATGCATGTAAATACGTTTTTCTTGAAGTGTCTTCTTAAAAGTCTTAAGATCTGATGCTCCCCTCACTACATAGGTGTAATTAATTCCAAGGATGTAAATAGCAGTGCAGAAATTCAAAACCTGTTGAAGGGTAGCAGACAGCCTACCTAAGCTTTTAAGATATGCTGCTTTCAATGAAATTACAAACAGCTTTTCCTTTCATCAGAAAAAAACCAACTTATCATAAAGTAGCATAATTGGGGCATTACAGCAATTACTGATTTCTACACCACTACTCACTGGAGGGCATTTCTGGATGTCTTGATATATACTACTCCTGATAAATAAATTGGGAAGAGCTTGACATCAATTAGTCTTAAATGTCTAAGTGTTTTCACTGCTGCTTAGAGATAGTGTTTTTCATTAGCTTTGGCTTCCAAAATGGAAATCCTAGAAGATTATTCATCCAGTGCTGAAACATACCCTGCATTTAAAACTGGAGAAGAGTGTGCCATTTCCAGGATCAGCACAGGATCAGTGACATGAGATCTCCTTGATCTTCCTTCGTTACAAACATTTCTTCCTTGTCCATTCAAGCTGTAATCTCAAATCTAATATTAAGATTTTTTTTTCTGCACACACAGGGCATGGTCTGTGGTCAGCCTTGTCCTGAGGGTCGTTACGGGAAAAACTGTTCCCAGGAGTGCCAGTGCCACAATGGAGGGACGTGTGACTCAGCAACAGGTCAATGTCACTGCAGCCCTGGTTACACAGGGGAACGGTAAGGAAATCTGTTTTTTGCCAGACTGTTGAACCTGCAAGGGATCTGCTACGACAGAGAAAATTAAGAAGCTGGTAGAAATCAGAATGAAAATATCTGTGATACGATTTTAAAAGTCTTATGAAATGTTTGCCATGTCACTTAGCTGATGCTGGGTCACAAGTTAAAAGTGCCTATCTGATTACCCTCCTGTGAGGGACTGCTTGGTTTCATGATTTTTCTACTGTGGCCCATACTGTGGCAGTGTCTTGTGGGTCGTCACTTGAGTGGCTTGCAGAGTGATGCAGTTTGGGGTACGGTGAAGGGGTGAGGAGGGAAGCTCTTGGTTTTGTGCAGATGTTTGGCAGTCATAGTAGCAAGGGAGGCCCATTCAGTTTGTCTTCAAAGTAAGCAAGGTGTAGCATTGTCTCCTAAAGTATTTCATTCAAATGAAGAAGTGAAATGTCTTTATTTTCTGACTTGGTTGTTAAAAATAATCTTTGGTGAATTGGAAAGACATTATTTTTGAAGGCAGTGGAAAGTGATGAAAGAAGCGTTTTCCTGCGTGTGTTTTAAACAGCACACAACTCATTTGCTGAAGTCAGCAGCAGCTTAATCACTGGGGTCAGTCCAGGGGATCTCTGCCAACAATAGTAGGTATTATAACCATATGCACTTCCCACGCAAGTGTTCACAGGACATGGTGAGAGCTGTGCCAGACATAGAGGAAAAAAAACTCATGAAGAAGAGAAGCAATTAGTCCAGAGCCATTTGGATGCCAAAATTAAACTTGTGTTTGTGAAGAAACAGTGCAGAAGGTGCTAGATGCATTTAAAGAGGCACAGACAAGTCAGCAGGGAAATTAAAGAAATACCTATATGATAGTCTATGCACTGCACTACACTGATGTTTCTAAAAGCAATTTTTTTGTCTTGGAATTTAAACCTGCCTTTAATCTGAAATTCCTTACAGGCGCCAGCTTTTTGATCACTTTTGCAAGTTGGAGCTCCCTCTCTTCCTACAAAACAGACTATATTTGCAATTCTTTTGTTTTTCAAGATACTTCAAGGGCAGGAAGGGATCAGAAGCAAGGTTCTAGACCTGGTTCTTATTTCATGTCAGTGGACTGGCAAGGGAGGGAAGTACTACAAGAAATGTGTGGGCACTGGCTGAGATAGCACATACATACCAACAGCAAAAAGGATGGTTTTTAAAAATGCTAAGCTATTCTCCAATTCTGTGTGTAACTTCAACAATATTTGTCTGAGATTTCAGTGTGATAGTGACTCCTGGAAGTTGGTCATACAGCAAGAAAATAGAACTTCTAGAGCATGTAACAGTTTCTAGGTGATCTGAGTTAACACAAGGGCATCTAGTTTAAACTACCTTTATAATTCTTCTGCCTAATACTTTTTGATTGATACCTGTCCTCACCATGAAGTAAAAAAGGGTCTTTCAGAAGCTGATGAAGATGCAATTAAAAAAAAAAATAATTCCAAGGTTACATTTTGTCTAATTTGGCTGGGATTCCTGATTGTCATTTGGAGAAAATTCATTCTCAGCTTTATTTGTATAACTTCATTAGGAAGCATTTAAGCATGGTTATCAGCTCTATTATGCTACATCTCTGAAGGAAAGAGGCTTCAGTCAGGGCAGAGTTACAAATACCTTGAAACTTCTGGATACTAGGATCAGATTGAGGCAAATACTGCAGAGGCATGAAATGAACATGTATACACATTTTACCTCAGTCAGAGGTCTCTGCTACATTCTGCAGTGCCTTGTATCACATGTCTTTGAAATTCTCCTGTAATAAACCACCAATCCTATGAAAAAACTACAAAAAAAGCCAATTGGAAGGAAACCAGAGGGAAATTCTTTTATAGGACTGGGGAAAAGAGCAGGTTATAAGCTGATAAAATCATTAATAATGTGCTGTATTATCAAGTAATATTTTTGTACAATCTATAAGTTGGTAAAACTTAGAGGTACCCAAATTGCAGAAGATGTTACATGCCTGGTGTCACCTGTTGAGTCTACAGCGCACCTCAGGACTTCAATGTCAGCATGTTCTGTCCCTAAAGCTTTAGGATTTAGCTATTTTGCCTTTTTGTCTATGTCAGTGTAATTCAGAGTTTATAGGATGTTTATATTGAAAAATATGGGGATTTTCCCTAACACATAAGCTGTGAAATGTTGTCATCCTTGACTCTGAGACATGAACCTGTTGAGCTGAGAGGTCTGCTCTCATACATATAATCAAATATTTTAAGAGCACTTAGTGCTGGAGCCTTTAGTAATGCTGTAGTAGTCCTGGCATACTGAATTTTAACAGTTCAATTATAAACCGCAGAGAAGTTAAAGCTGAAAATGTCAAACTGATATTGTATCTCTTAAATACATTGTCAAATGAAATTGCTATCCAGAAACTCATTAGGAAATGAGTTGCAAGTTTTAGAAGCAGGATACTGAAAATTGTCTTTTAGTAGTCAGGCTGGACAGCTAAATGTACAATGTGATCTTCAAGTTAAATAATGTCTTTTGTATGTAAAACATTAAGGAAATAAGACTGTTACCTAAAGCAGCTATCCTCTAAAAGTTCTGTGAATGGAAAAGTTTGGTGAAGAAGTCTCTTTATTAGGATGTATTTTCTTAAGGAGCAACAAAAATCATTGTTAGTCTCCCATATGGGTTAAACTGAAGTCTTTACTGATTTGCACTTTCATCTGTTAGAAAATTCAGATGAAAAGAAGGGGTTTGGGTTCCTGAAGATTTTTCTATGTCATCCTATGAATTTTTGAAGGGCAAAATAAAAAAAAAAAATTAGGTTTAGAATGACACTCTGAGAGTAAAGGTATTCTGGAATCATCATGTGTTTGGAAACACAATTAGAAATTATATTCTTGTCAGAGACTGCTAAGCGTGATTGCCAGGGAACTTCCTGGCCTGAGCATCTGCAGAGGCGCGTATGTTTGCTGGCTGTTCACACTATTGCTAAGTGGAGAATCTAGATGACTTTAGAAAGTTAGAGATGGATGGGTTTTGAAACAAAATACTTGCAAATTTATTCCGTCATACTTCAGGTCTGATTTAAGAGGGTTTGATTTAGTTCTGGTTCCTGAATGCAAAGTGCATGGTCTGTGTATGTATGTTGTCTCCTTTGTTGGAGAGAAGGGAGACCTTTTCCAAAGGAATTTGCAGAGCCAATGTTTTTAAGCCTGTCTAGCTGAGCAGCAAAAGAAACTAGAGACAGGCACTTTTAAATATGAAGTTATATAAATTCCTGCTCTATTTAAGAGGTGTTGTAGACCAGTATAAGAGATTCCTCATAAACCATATTTCCCTTAAATTCCAAAAGGTGTAGTTTATGCGAAATAAAACTAGTTTTTATTTGTTTCTTTTTCTCACAGGTGTCAAGATGAGTGTCCAGTGGGGACTTACGGAGTGCAGTGTGCTGAGACCTGCAAGTGTATGAATGGTGGGAAATGTTACCATATTAGTGGTGCCTGTCTCTGTGAACCAGGATACAGTGGAGAGCACTGTGAAACAAGGCTTTGCCCTGAGGGAATTTATGGTCTCAAGTGTGATAAAAAATGTCCCTGCCACATGCCCAATACCTGGAGGTAGGCTTTACACCCTTTAGCCTGTTTTCTTTTTCTATATAGAACATAGAAATACAAATATAATCTGAAAATAAATATTTCCTGCGTTTTCTAGTATTTTCATGCAAACTGAAGCAGCTAAAGACTTATAAGAATATTTGGCATTTTCTAACCGTATCAGGAAAGAAAATATCAATGCAAAAGAGCTTCTGAATTTTAGTGCTTGCAACTATATTTGATCTTAATATTCACTGCTGTATTTGGTCTCTGACCCATGAAACAAATGTTAAGACAAACTATGACCTTTGTCTATATTTACCACATATATAAATCATTAAATTTTTCACTGTATAAAGTCAGTCTACATCATACATTTCTTGCATATTCTGTGGTACTGTAGATAAGAAATAACTGAATTGAAATCAATGGATGTATAGTCCTACAAGTCGGGCATGAGTAGAGAATCCATTTCTCTCTCTCTCTCTCTCCCCGCCCCCCCCGTATACATATGCAAGAATTGCTGTAGGTGACTATTTTACTAGAAAATTCACGAAGCCTCACCAATTGTGAATCTAGGTTTCAAAAATACTTTTTTTGTCATTTAAATGTTTTTTCTAGAAAGCAGGTAAAATTGGATCCCTGGAAATCAAATGAAATTAGTTTTCCAGTTGGCTTGCCTTTTACCGTGTCTCCTTATTCAGACAGTAATGAGTCCTGGTTTTTGAGTTTTGTGTGTCTTTGTGGATTTCACAGTGCTTCAGCATATTGTTATGAAAATCTAAAAACTAGCTATTTGGAGACAAACTTCCAGCTGCGAGAGAGGAATGTCAGATGTCAGTCGAGGAGAGCCAGCATATTTATAGAACAATTCTCAACAGCTTTCTCTTGTTACAAAACACAGTTCTTCTGATGAAATACTTTGGTCATTGTAGGTTCACTTACACATTAACTTACACTTTATTGCATTACTAATCACAGTACCTTGGATAAGGTTTGTGAGTGTAATATAAATTTTTGCTGTTGAAAATAGCTGTGAAAGAAATTCGCAGAAACTATTGACTCTTGCATAGAATGCTGCTGTATGTTGTATATAAGATGCGCTCTTCCTCACAGATAAAACAAAAGCCTTTAGTCAGAATTTACAATACTATTGTACTAAGAATTATGGTTAGCTGATTTCCTGAAAATTTGTCTGCAGACTGTTGTAACAGCCTTGTTTGGCAAGAATGCATTACACTGTATAGTATTTCTGATATTACAGGGATTACTTCTGATTCATGTTCAACACAGCTGTTCCTTCATTTATACCCCTGGAAGACAGCTTGTGGTCAAATCAGACCACAAATGTTCACGTGTAAACAGCAGCATATGGCTGGTCTTTTTTTGAATATTTTGCCCTCTGTATGACAAATCAAAAGCCACTTAACAGCCCTGTAGGTGCGGAAGCATATTTGCAAGGGCATAATGCTCTGTGAGGAAAACAAAGACTTTCATGACTTCACAAGTGTATTTTTCATATATAGGTTACTTCACCCTCAGTCAGGAAGTGATTAAGACCACCAAATAAGAGAAATCAAAGGGCATCTGAGTAATGGTATAGAAAACAGAACTCCCTGTGGACACTTTACGCTTTTGAGAATCTTTTGAGAAGCCAGTTGTGTCTGGCTGTCTTCATCTCTCACTAAATACCAGTCAGCCAGGAGACAACTTTTTAAGCACATCAAAGAATATCCTTATCCCTTACTTGCCTACCACAAGTACTATTTGGGCTGGCTAGCTCTAGCCAAAGGATCTTCATGGCAGTAACCCATTTAGCAGCAGTGTAACAACCAATAATCCTAGGGCTCAAAAAAGGGTACAATTCCTTCTTCAAATACACTGTGTGTATCTGTAGTTCTAGGATTCTGTTAGGACTTCTAGTGGCCTTGATATCGTAAAAGTTTTTTTATCTTGGTATGACCACTAGGTTAGATACCCTCAAAGAGGAGCTGTTGGTAGGCTTAGAGCCTCAGGTTATTACTTACGTTCTTGGTATTCATAGATAAGGAAATGAACTAAAGGTTAGTTAAAAAAATGCTTAGCACCAAAAAATATTACTGTAAAATATGTGTACATAAGTTGCAGTATACAAGTATGTGTCTAGCCATTTTCTTAAAATACTTAAAGATACAAAAACATTATGATACACCATAGTTCAAAAAGGTATACATATTTCTGTTACTGTGTTATGATTAAGGAAATGGCATGAAACCAGCTTTTACAATGATTCATAATTTTTATTTTGGTTAGGCTAAGCTACAAGGATTTTGCTGCTGCTGTTGCTGGATGGCACCTCCTGGGGATGAAAGATCAGCCCATCCTTGTTCTTAGTTGCATGAGCAGCCTTTATTAAAGGCTTCATAAAAGGTTAGATATAGATATATTTGAGAGATTTTATTCTTTTTGAGGGGTCCAGAGGACAGCAGCAGATAACAGCCCTCTTGTGCCAAGAGTTTTTTCACAAATGGTTCTTCTCTGTTGCATCTTTTGATATATACAAAAGGATTTGAGCTAGAGTTTAAATAAGACACAGACCTCTATATTCTATGACTAGGTGACACTATTGATTTTTCCCTTTTTACTCAATAGTCAGAAAAAACACTAGAGTGAGTGGAAGCTGGCTGAGACTAAGACCCTTCCTCAGTGGGGTACAACAGCAGTGGTGTGAGCTGATCTGAGCAGACCCATGTGTCCCTGCCACTTGCATACACAGTTTGTGGGGCTTACAGAAACTTGTCATTCTCAAGATCCACTTTGCAGGAATGAGCAACAAAGACCTCGATCTGCCTTTGTCAATATCATTACTTCGTTTTGTACAGGAATGTTCTTCAAGCCTAAAGCCCTTTTAGACTGGATTTTGTCATGCCTTTGCTCAAGTGACACCTGATGATCATTCAGAAAATGTAAAAAGGACACACTCTACCTGTATATTTATCTAGAAGGTTTACAAATGATATTTGTTACACCTATGTTATAGGATATGCATTAGTTTCAGGTTGATCTCCAAGCTAAATTCGAGATGTCCCTGTTTTTTCTCTTCTAAGCTCTTTCTGGTCATCTTCCACCACTGCTTCACACCTGTAGGTAAGATCAGCTGAGGTGATTCTGTATGACCAACTAATTTGGTTTAGTTCAGGCTGGAATTAGGGTTTATTCATGACACGAACTCTAATGGAGTTTCCTTTGTCTCATGCTTTTTCTGAGACACATATGTAGGGTTGAGTGGAATTTTATGCTGTGATACATGCTTAGTTCATATAGTCTGGGTGTGGTTTTTAAGTTAAGATTATGGCGTCTTGTAATTTTGCAGTTTTCTAATAGACTTGTACATACATGTACAAGAGCTTTTAATGGAAATTTTATATTGCATAGGGTGCTACAGAATTTAGTAATAGTGAAACGCCTGTATAAATCATATGAAAATCATTAAGTTCATCTAAGTCCTTCAAACATAGAATATCAATTACCCACAAGTATTTTTTTTGTCTCTGTACAGAGTAGGGTTGTATTTCCAGAAAGTGTGAACAAAAGACCAGGAATAAAAGCAGATGTACTTGCAGTATCTCTCAACATCTCTTTATTTCCCTATCTTAATATATAAATCTTATTGCCAATTAAGCTAACTGCATGAGAACCCATCAGAAAGCTTCAGAAGTGCTCCAGCTTCCTACATCTAATTATAAATTACAGAATACTAATTTTGGTGTCAATCAATATATATGCAAGTATGCCTTAGTAACACTCACTGGGGGGCACAGAATATCAATGCCTCTGCTTCATACCCAGTGCTTGCTCAGGCGTGTGGTCTCCCCCTCTCCTGAAAGGAAAAAAACCGAACAACAAACAACACTGAGATTTATGTCTTAAAATGACAGTACAACTAATTTTGTGTTGTAAGTATATTCTAATTCATATCCTAGTGACTATTCAATTGTGGATTGAAAAATCTTTTCATATTTGCTCCCCTTAATTCTTCCACTGATAAGAAACATGAGAATTGGATCCAAAATGCCACTGGGTGCTTACAGGAAGTTAGGAGTAGAGGACAAACCTGATTATCTTGCTGCATCATGTGTTTTCATAGTTTTGCATGTATTTTATATGACTATAGTTCATTTCAACTTATTTCATGCCAGATATACTTATAACTGAAGAAGTAGCCAGGACTGTTGACTATGAACACCATGAGTTTTAGACCATTTCTGCATATACCATTTAATTGAAAAGATAATTGAAAAGACCTTTCCTCTCACTTTATGTAAACCAGCTTAATACTGTCAAAGAGATTTTAATATCTTCAAGACCTCCAAATTCTTATGATGTTGTAGTGTATGCCATAATATATAGACAGCAGAATATATAATGACATTGTAACCTTTATAATTCATACTTTCCTTGATCAGTGGTATGTTGTCAATTGGTTGTATTTGGCAATAGTAAACTCTTAGTTTGACAAGAGTAATATTGCATTCCCTTGTTATGTTGCAACTTTTTCAAAGAACGTTGTTATGTTATAGCACCTAAAAATGCAATAGGTATATTTTCAAACTTTCAAATGGTCAGAAAAATACTTTATTTCAAACACACCCCCACACAAGGAATCAGCAAATCTTGCAAAATCAGGCTCTTGTCACGGGTCATTTAATGCGTCTGGACGAAGGCACGTTTTTTTCCAGCACACTTAAAGGAACTTCACTTCAATCAGTGGCAGACAAATATCTTTAAACAGTCTTCCCATTGTAAATATATTGGATTTGGATATTAAGGCTTTCCTTTGGTGAGAATTAAGCAAGTCCTTGTCTGCCAGAGTGCTACAGAGTACCCCATTGTGTCCACTTTTCCAGCACATATATCTTTGCACAGCTGATGATGTCCATTTGTTATGAGGCAACAGCTGTCTGACTGGCTCTTCAATGAAACTGCTGTTCCAGGTAGGGACAGCTGGTCTGCCACCAGGTATGGCCAACATAGGGGAAATACTCTCCAAAAGGTCACTGCTCTGGTGGTATATCTGACTTCTTCCCAATGTAAATGATTTTGTATCATTCCTGAAAAGATGCCAGTTGTCCTCTTTTCAACTAACAGTTTAAAGAAAAGAGCATACTTGGTAGTCATTGGGTCCTGTGTTATTATTTGTGTTGGATGCCACGCCATTTTACCGAAGCTTCGTATTTCTCAGAGAATATGCTGCCGAGTTTGGGCAGTGTTACAAAAATGATCCTATTGTACTTGGAGTGGAAACCTAACAATACATTTTGGGGAATGTAATGATTTCATCACCTTAATATCTGCAACCATCGATATCTATTTTATGGTAAAAACTGTGTTTCAGATAGGTTTCTTGTCAACAAGCTATAGGAAAGTGATACCTCTTCTTTTCTTTCCATGTCATGGTAAAATGTCTGTATGTTGTATGATGTTACATTTCTTATCTCAATTGACATGCATTTATATATACATATACAGAACCCTTTGCTTTGTGATTTAGGGCATAAAACCATCTCTACACATAGCATGCAAGGTCCTTTATGCAACCTATCTGTAACAGCATTTTGTTCTCTGGGAAAAAAAAAAAAATTGATGTCATGTTTAGTCCCGAATTATTTATCCTTTTATCCCCTCCTGGCAGCTGTCACCCTATGTCTGGGGAATGCTCCTGCAAGCCTGGCTGGTCTGGGCTCTACTGCAATGAGACGTGTTCCCCAGGATTCTATGGCGAGTCATGTCAGCAGATCTGCAGCTGCCAAAATGGTGCTGACTGTGACAGTGTGACTGGAAAATGCACCTGTGCCCCTGGATTTAAGGTAAATAAGTCTCACTTTCACAGTTCATTTTTGACTCCACTGCCTTTAGTTAAGTGCCAGATTCTTCAAGATACCAGAGTGTCCTTTCTCCCTCACAGTAAAAGAGAGGTAAGGATATTTAGGTACCACTGGGTGTGCTATAAGGCAAGACCCTGAAAAGGCAAAAATTTATGATTGGTTCTCAGTACTGAAATGAAGCCATTTTAAGAAAGAAAAGTTAGTTGCTTTATAAGACATTGACAAGAATGAGGGTGTACTGTTGAGGTGTAAATAAAAGGAGGAATGATAGGTTTCAGTCATTATCTTGTTGCACCAACTCCTTATGCTCCATCCAGAGAAACTCTGGACAAAGACATTTGTTTTTACAGTTCATGACAGATTATTCTGCAGCTTTCACATGTTTGCTGTTACCTGAGCATTGGATGCTAATCCAACATAGAAAACATTTTACAGTATGACTGTTCTTCTAGGAATAATAACTTTGAAAACTTCAAATTAATTTTTTTCCATTAAACTGCTGTCTTACTGAGTTTTGGTTTCATAAAGGGCTTCTTTATTACTGAAAATACTGTCCCTTCATCTAACCAAGGGCTGTTAGCTATGTGACCTGAGCTCTCACAGCAACCGATAGAAAACTAATGCTTGCTGTAGACATGAAGGACTCCCTCGGCCTTAAATCAGGATAACTTAGTGACAGCCTAGGACAGTCATGGGCTGTATGTTTTCTGGCTTTTGTAGCACCTGGGTCAGTCTAGGTCATGTATTAGTTATATTGTCTGAACCTCCTCAAATAGTTCTTAGACTTTGTTTTTGTATAATTCAGGGTGCTGCTTGTGGTACTCCTTGCCTTCCGGGGACATACGGAGTAAACTGTTCATCTGTGTGCAACTGCAAAAACGAAGCTATCTGTTCACCAGTAGATGGTTCTTGTGCCTGTAAAGCAGGTAAGTGTCCTTCAGATTAATTTTCTTTCTCTGTGATCGTAAAATGAAATTGAGTTTTTGAGTAGAGAAGAAAGAAACTTAATGAAAAGTGAACCACCTTGAAGGCCATGTCGCAAGATACTTTATGCTTCTGCTGCTCTGGGAGTTGAAAAACTATGAAAACATCTGCTTGGTGAAGAGTACATGTACCTCGTGTTCGTGTTTCCTTGACACAGTTCTCAGTGGGCTGGATACTGTGGCTGCGTGAATTACTACTGTTTACCATGAGGTGAGCCACCACTTGTCTCTTGTGGCAGTGCGATGGTCTGCTACAACGACTACTGGCATGCCATTTATCTGATGTCAGCCTTCCTACTCAAAATACGTAACTCAGTTTCCCCTCAGCCTGGGTGAGCACCACTTCTGGCTGCCACCCTCACTTCCATCAGCATCACAGAGGCACAGACTGCTTCCTGCCAGTTTAGCGCCGATGTTCATATATACTGGCAATTTTTGCTGTTCGAATACTCTTTTTCTCAGCAATTCTCTGACCAAACCTTGCCTAATCACTGCTGCAGCCTACGCCCTCCACTGTTCCCTGCTTTCACGAGAAACTTTCTGAATCTCCCAGTATTAGTGTGAGTGGACTCATGCTCCTTGACCCCTCTGCCTGGCTTTCTCCTCTCAAAAGTAGTTTTGATGCTCAGTGTACCTCCACCAGAAACTGTATGTACCTACCCACCTTTCCATCTCCCAGTAGTACATGCCTTTGGTTGGAACAAAGATAACTCAGATATCCTGCAGTGTTGGTTCTGCAGAGATCTTTTTCCATGTAAAGGTCTAGAGGTCCACATGGTGTTCGTGTTCAACCCAAAATATGCTACTAAATTCCACTTAAAGATCCACTCTTGCAATACACCTGTTCTCTTTTTTCACTTCTGCTGTGAGGAAGGCTTTAAAGTCCAACATCTCTCAGCTGTGATGCTGGATTGCTGAGAAGAGAAGGGCAGGTCTTTGAATGCTCCCAAGCAAATTCTGTGCCCAGCCTGTGTTGTAGACACCCCCATCTAAAAATGTTTTTCCAAAAATACACCAAGGTTGAGAGTCCAAGAGGAGTGTTAAAGTTACCTAGACAAATAGCCACTAAATTTGTCAGGGACTGATACAATGAAATCATTTGTGTAGCAAACAGGGAGAGTTTCCAGCTTCTGCTCTTGTCAAAGAGAGCGGAGCACATTTAACTCTGTTAAAGTAGCTAAGTAGGTACTGCTAAGTAGCTAGGTTATGAGGAGAAAAACTATTAATTGAGTCATGCATAATCCTGTCTTCTTGTGCATCATGCAGTTTTAGTCATACTAGGATGAAAAAGGACAGCAAATGGTGAAATTAAACTAAACCCAGATACTTGTCATGTAAATGAAGAGAAGAGGATATATAAGTATCTCTGGAATATTATAAATATTGGAAAGACCTGGAAAGACCCTTGAGAGAAAGTGTCTCAATTTTCTAGCTAGTATAGTATAACATTTTTTCCTGAAATGACCCCTAAGTTCAAAGTTATCAATCCAGGGCACGAGGCAGCTTCGTTTCAATATATGTGTTTTGCGTAGTCTATTGATTAGGCTCAGTGCAGAATTATTTTTCCCTTCGCTTACTGTAAACAAGGTACAAAATTAGAAACTTGGCTTGTGTCATTGCTGATGATAACATATGGCTGGCTCATGCCGTTTCTCTTGTATCCAATAGATGATCACATTTTAAAAAATCTATTTACAGTTCTGTCTATCCAGTGCACAGTCTGTGAATCATTGCTATTGGGCATAATCAGTGGTGAATGCTGCATTTTAGAATCATTTTCCATTACAATTTTTTGTATTTGGAGAGAAGTATAGAAATAATCTAAAAGGTCTTCTGTCTATCCTTGGAGAAATCCAACTTATGCACTACTTTTATGTTTTCTCTTTTTTTTGTGTCTAAGATTTCCGTTAAAACCATATTGCGGAACTGTCTGTATTGAACACAGGTGGAAGAATTATGAAAGCAGCAGCTTAAGTCTAGGGAAAATACTCCTCTTTTTTTTTTTTCAGGCTATTCCTTAAAACTTTTGGCATAGTTTAGTGCTTCTTAGCGTAATTTCAAGGTGTCTTAGTTTTCATTTCATATCTTCCATCAATTGCTTTTTTATGTTGGCACCCATCTGCAAATGTGTGCTGTGCACAGATGTTACAAGGTGCCCTTGAGCACCTTTGTTCAAACCTGGACAAGTTCTCAGCTGAAACTGTTGATCCTATCCTGTAGTTAATGTTATCACGATAGTGTGCATCTCCAAGAGATGCTACACGGTAGGAGGAGGGAAACATATTCTCAGAGAAGAATGGGGGAAAAAAACTGATTAATTTGTCACTTTAATTCTTATTTTTGGCAGGTTGGCATGGTGTAGATTGCTCAATAAATTGTCCCAGCGGTACCTGGGGCCTTGGCTGTAATTTAACTTGCCAGTGTCTTAATGGAGGGGCTTGCAATGCGCTGGATGGAACCTGTACCTGTGCCCCGGGCTGGAGAGGACAAAAATGCGAACTCCCTTGCCAGGTAGTTTAATAATTTTACTGAATTTTGCACTGTAGGATAATACTGGGCAGGGGGACACTCCTGTCATTCTTCTGATTTCACAGGGATAAGCCCCTAAGGAGCACTGCACCTGGTAGCCCTTATACGACTGGGTTCAAGATCAGGGACATGCACTGACAGTTCTTCTGGAAGAACTCTGCTGTGCAGCACACCAAAGAACACAAAAAATGACTACCAAAATGAAGATGCAAAGATGAACACTTTTTCTGCTTTCATACTTTGAAGTTGGACCTCAAACTTGTCACCAGCTCCTTTAGAATTTGTTGAAAAACATGGAACCAATTTTTTCCGTCTCTATCAGCATCAAATGCTATCCAAACTGCTTCTGTTAAACTACTTTAAGTAAAAATGATGAGAGAAAAAATGTACCAAAAATATATTCCACATCAAACAACATAATTTTAATTAAATTAGCTTTTATCTGTGGTACAGTATGAATTAATAAAGAACTTCCATTCCTCCTCAGTCAGACATGAGAAGGCAGTCTTACTACCCAGTCCCATGACAGGTCTTTCCCTTTCTATTGGGGCTCTGACTTCCACTACTTCCCAGACTGAAAACTGCAAAATTAGAAATCATTGTGTTGACAAAGGCACGTATCTCATCAGTTCTGTTCTACCGTGTAATCTGTAATTTGGGGAAGCCATAAAAATATATAATTTTGAAATTTAAAAAATGGCAAAATTCAAAACTGAATTGTTTTATTATGTAACTGTTTGATTTCAGTTACATTTCAGGGACAGAAAAATGAGGTATTTTATGAAAAATGGGGTTTTCTGGAGTCCATCTTTTCCAAGGATGGACTTTGATTTTCCTGGAAATTTTTAACAAGCTTTACTTTTAAACTTTTTTCTGCTCTCCTTTTCCTCTCCACTGTATTTTCTTCACTTTTGCAATACTATCTGCATAGCAGGCTGTTGGTAATATAATTGTGAAGGAATCACCTGAACTGAACATAAAGCTTGTAAATTGCCCTCTTGTATCACATTCAAGCTTCTGTCAGTTTGGAATAGCTCTAGTGAGCAATAACATGACAGGAGTAGCTGAGCTACACTGTAAGACTGGAAACCATACCTCTGTTTTGAATGAAAATTTGTTCTGTTGAACGACTCTCAGAATACTCAGAAGTGATTTTTTGGGGGTTGTTTTTGGTTTTAAGATGAGGTATAGCATACACTGATACAGTGAGTGAAGTGGCAAACAAATTCTTAAATATTCTGGAAGGCTGATTCGACTACCATCTGTGCACGTTTATGCAGTCTTTCCAACAATGCATCTCCATCAGAAGACTAATTTTTCTTTTTTCTAAAGCAACTTTGTTTATCACTTAGTGTCTGAGTCTGAAGGATGATGAGATCTCCCAAGCTCCATTAGCTCTTCCAAAATTAACTTATTAGAAAAGATAGGTATTGTTTCGTAGCATTTGCTTCACTGTTCCAAATTTAGCAAAATAATGCTTAAAAGCATTTCTATATCAGATAGTTTAGCATTGTCTTGCATGCTCTCTCTCTCTCTCTGTCTGTGGCAAATTATGTCCATAGCATTTACATATTTCAAATGCATATTCTGCCTCAAAATTCCACAGCAGGAGAATAAATACAAAACTAACTCAAGTGTGTCCAGTGTTATCTGAATTTTTTTCTTGTTTGAGCAGAGAGTTTATTTAAATCAGTGTATTTCAATTTGTTTCAGTAACTTCATAAAATTAGTATCACTGCCCAGATTTTTACTCAAGATTCGTCTGAAGTTTGGACTTCGGTCTAAACACATAGAAGACTAAAATACCACTTTTCAACAACATATTTGAGGATTTCCTTTCTTTCCAAATCTGTTTATATGCAAAGGAAATGCTTATTCTTTTTTTTTCTCAATATAAAAATGTATTGTTGAGATGAGAAAAAGGTTCCTTATACTCAAGTAATGTAAGATTTTGTTCTACTTTAGAGTTGAAAGGCTGGGAATTGAATAGCTAAATTCTGTGGAACTTGGTAGAAATGTAGGCATGAACATCAAAGAACAGCAGATGAATTTTTATACAGGTTTTATTCTGATTTTTAATGTGACTGAGACCAATTTTTAGCCTGGAATTTAAATGATTGGGTTTTAAACTTGACATGTTTTTTCCTTTTTTTGCCTTTGCTGTGGGTAACCCCAGAAGTATTACCTTGAATTATACTGGCTTTTTTCCATGTTTTCAAATTTGTTTTGACACTTCTTCTTTAAGATCAATTTACTGTTGTACTTTGCCTTGTTTTGAGAATGCAATTGTAAAGATTTTGCTCTTTTCAGTTTTTCAGATTGATTTTGTATGGAGTTACCCCCAAATGTATGTGCCACCTTCCATGGAAGAAGCAGAAAAATTCAAATGTTTAGATTAGTTCCATGAAAATCAGTTGTGCTCTTTTGGCACAGCTGAATACACCAAGAGAGGTGTCCAACTTCTAACTTTAATCTTTCTTGTTGGTTCAAAAAATGTTCCATGGCCAAAAAATAATTTTGTTCTGTGTACTGTCTCATAGCCAAGGAGCTTCTCTTTTTAACATAGTGTATGCTGTAGTGCGGAGGGGAGGATTTTTAATCAAAAGAGATAAAGTTTGCATTGTTTATGCAATCAGCTTCACACTGAAGATATATTTTAATCTAATGTTTTAGTACTCTTTTTTAGAAATTATGGAATTTATGTAATATCCTTTTTGGCCAATACATAGATAGCTCAAGGTCTGAGGCAGAAAGGAGCCTGAATTGCTTTCCTGTCGAGGGACCACCAGGTCCTGGAGTATGACGTCAGCTGTAAGGGAAATTAGAGGGGTAGTACAAGAAAGCTTTCATTGCAGCCTCTAATAGTGTAGGTTACTGTGTTCTGAATCACTCTCTCCAGGTCCATTAGTCTGAGATTTTTCAAGTAAGTGTAATTAATTCATTATCTTCCCCTCTTAAATGAAAAAGTGAAAATGTAGGATGCTAAAATGTTCCAAAATGCAGAAGGGTTTTATATTAAGAAAGCAAATTATGGATTCAGGAGAGATTTGTGGTTGCTTTTTGAGGCAGGACTGGCCAGAACTGGTTCTTCTCTAACTCCCAGTTGATATCCTCTCTGAGTTGTTTTTTTTTTTGTTGCCACAGGACGGCACATATGGTATGGATTGTGCTGAACGCTGTGACTGCAGCCATGCAGATGGTTGTCATCCCACCACGGGTTACTGTCGCTGTTTACCGGGATGGTCAGGTACAAAAGAGATGGTCATGAAAGACAATGAGAGTTTTCACTATGGTGGGACTTGGTCTTGCCTTTCGGTTTTGTGGGTAGAGGAGGAGTACGTGTGGTTGGAAGGAGAAAAGAGCCAGTTCTGTGGCTGCTGTGTTCACTCTGTGATTCACAGGTCTGGAAAATTTGTCAAGCATGGGACCTGCAGAAAACTGGGGAAATCTTAAAACTTGGGCACTTCCACAATATATTTCCTTATGAAAGTGGTGAATAGCTGTAAATATTCAAGGTTGTGCTGGCAGCTTTGGTAGGTAAAGCATCACATCCAGGAAGTCAGAAAGCTTTGCTTAGGCAGCCAAAAAGTGGATAAATCATGCAGAAGCTGTGCTACCATTTGAGTTTCTCAAACTTTTGAAAAAAATAAGTTTCTCTACATGTATTTTGATCTGTATGAAAATTGTTGCACTTTTTTCACAGTTTCTCCGGCATTTTCATTGCCATTTTAAGAACTATATATATATATAATTATTCATCAAAATTTGTGTTAGATGCTGTTGTTGCACTGTCTTGTTTGTGGAAAGCAAGATTTTTTTTTAAAACATGATGAAACTATGCAGAAGGCAAGCTCTCATGAAATGTTCCCTTTACCTGTAGGAGGTAGATTTTGTTCTCCTGTAGATTTCTGAGCTCTAAGTGTTGGGAAAACTCTTCCATCTCCAATAAGGATTAATTGACACTGTAAGTTTGCCCCTCTCAGAGTGTTCTGGACTTTGTGTCTCACTGTGATACTGTAGTGTTGCAAGGGTCACATTTCTTGTCACCTGTCTGTACAGACTCCTTCTGTTTAATAATGAGAAGTCAGCATGAAAAACCCACCTTAAATGAAAAAAGCATGTTTCTGGTGTGAAAAGAAAGGAGGGGTTTTTTGTGATTTCAGGTATAACGTAGTATTATTTATTATCCACTCATTTATAAGTTCATATTTTTCCCAATTGACTTGTAGGTTCATGATATAATTGTTCTCTTTTTTTTCTCTGGTGCTTCCAGACATAGTAGATGGAGGTGAGCAGACAATCTGCAGTAGGTCATTTATTTGATAAGTTTAGCAAATCGTTGTGCTCACGGAAGTTTGTGTAGAGTTTATGACTTCCTCAGATACAGTCTTTACTGAGTTTTTTCCCAAACTTTGATTTTTATATGCTTTTTTTTCCTAGCTCTGTAGATGGATCACAGGCATTTTGTTCAAAGTGCATTAATACTCTGTGTCTGCAGTTCAGGTTGATTAGTTGTAGTTGATTACAGCTTACCTGGTGTTTTTCCTACTTGCCATTCAGATGAGCATGAATTTTATAGTTATGGGGGAGTAAGAAGTGGAAGTCTGTAGGGGATACAGACCTGGGCAGGAAGGGCCAGATTAAAATACGTAGTTTTGAAAGGCCATACTAAAAATCTAGCAACTTTTTCTAACTTTTTCTAACATGTAAAAATTATCTAGCCAGTGTGATATAACTAACCTGGGATGCCACAAAGGCTTCAGACAGCACAGACCTTGACTGTGCTTGAACTCAGGTATTGAAAAGATGACAATATTTGTGCCTTTAGGGAAATCTTATTTTGTCTTCATGTTTAGAAAGGAGAAAGATTTCACTAGAAAGAGACTTCAAGAGTGATTGTAAATAAAATTGAGTATCTGTCCCTGGATGATGTAATCACAACAGCGTGTATAACAGACTGGTTTCAACATGTTGGTGATGTCTAGACACACAATATAACATAAATGGCATAGTTTGCTTTATATTCAGTGTCTGGAAAAATCCTCCTCCCACACTTCACATGTCAGAGCAATACCCATGAGGAATCTGGTCTTTGTGTAGATACTTATATTTAGAATGATTAAAAAAAGGAGAGAGTTCTTTAGAAACAGGTTCCCAAATAGCTGTACTGTAATGTTACATTGCAGAGATAGCGTTAAATTGTAGGATTAAGAAGGGAGGTTATATACATGTTTGTATGCATAATAGGTGGAGAAACAGATGGAGGATTTGTGAAAATATAGGAAGGTACTAAGATGCAACAACTTATGTTAGAATAGCTTAGATTTTTTCCTGTTACATTTGTTAAAGTAACCATCAGAGTTACTAGTTTTTGGTGGTTAGTATTACCTACCAAAAAAAACAGAGAGAGGGAGGAACTGCTTTTGAATCAGTCTAATGCTTATCTAACCCATATGAAGGATTTAGTTGTTTAAAAACCATTGGGAAGGTAGTGTTAAAAAATAAATATATTTGAAGAAGCTTAAAGATGTGAACTTGTGAGTCTTTTTTCTTTTTCAACAAGAATAAATTGATGAATGCAAGGTAAGCTTCCCCAAATGTTTTGATGCCACCAAAATAACATAAAGTGTCCGAAGATATTTTAAATGTAATATTTTTCTCAACCCTGTGAATGGAGCAGTTGTCTGCACTTTCCAGAGGGAATTTCATCAGAGGGAATAGTTTATATAACTTTGCAGAAATAAATGAAGAGTGGAAGATTTTTCCCTTGCTGGATGACACAGTTGTACCAACATACTGGGGAACAGGAAACGTGCTGCACAAGGAGGGGGGTCACTTGACTGGTACAGAGTGCATGCTCCCTCGAGTAGTGAGGGAGCTCTGAGCTGCTGAAGTGGGCATAACTGCTATTGTCATGTACCAAAGGGCATCCTAGCTAACATGCTACCCTTTAGTTTACTCTCAAGATATAGCTGCTGCCGAGCATTAGGTCAATAATAAGATGCCATACGTTTTAGTTTTTTTAAGTAGTTTTTTCTTTTTTTTTAACATGCCCAAAGTATTATCTTTTGCTTCTTAGGTCCTAGTTATGAACAAAAGTGTAAGTTTAGTTATTGACTATTGTGTTGTCATGAGCTGTTATAAAACTCAAGAAATAATTAAAATTGGTTTTAATTAGGTTTTGTTTTAATTTAGGGTTTCTGTTTTTAATTTAGGTTCTGTTGCCTAGGAGGATACTTAGATTTTTCATCCTAAACAAAAGTGACTTCGTTTATAGGACTCCTGTTAGAAATTCTACCCCATGTGTAGTTTACAGCAATATACAGCAGTTTAATTCTGTCTAGAAAAGCAAGAGTTAAAGGTGATGTTTTTTTCCTGGCAATCTGACCATTCCATCACGTTCCAGGAGCCACATGACAGGATGGCACAATGAAGAAACATCCGCCCACGCAGAGGATGATGTCTGCCCCAAATGCTCTCGTCCCTTGACGTTTTCACTGTATCTTATAAATAACTTTTCTCCATTTGGAGAGAGTGCAATAGCTAGACAGTGGAAAAGAGTAAGAACCATTAAAATAGAAAGCAGAGGAAAGACGCAGAAAATGTACTCCCCCAATAGGTAATGATAATTAATTCTCCTAATAATTTATACCAAAATTTACATTAACTTCCGTTAAAGAGCCACCTCTACTGCTTCTCTCAATGACCACAATCCAGCAAGCACCATGGTAAACTGTTAATTTCATCCCTTAATCTTATCTGTTCTGCAAGCAGCTGTCAAAATACAATTTTTCAAAATTGCCTAAAAGATTAGAGGATTCATATTCTTGCAAACTGAAGATTTTGCATTAAAGCATTGTAAAAAAGGGAAAAAGTGTTTCTCCAGACTGTTTATAACTGTATTACAGTAATGTGGGTGTTACTGATAACACATTACTGTTGTGCGTTCTTGGGTGCAGTTCTGCTGGACCTTTCTGTTTGTGAAGAAATGTCATGTCATACTGATACAACATTTGTTATTTTTAAAATCAATTTAAAGGTTATGCAGTGCCAGGGATTATGAAATACCACTAGTCTGCTATCTGTACCAAAACAATAGCATTGGTTTATGGAAAAGACAGATGCAGTAATATCAGCCTACGTTTTACCAGCGTGCATAGTATTCACCCATATGCTACAGGAGATAGGGTGTTGGTGACTTTTTGCTGTGCTGGACACCTGCTGACACTAGTCAGATTGCCCATCACCAGATGTGTTGTTTCTGCGAGGAAGTGCTGTGTCTTTCCATGTGCTCCTGACATTATTTCTAAGAGGCACATTTGTTGCTGGATTATAACAGGGAGGCCTGTCATCTGACACCCACCCCACTGATGCAAATAACCGGGTCCCCTGGGAAGCACGAACTAGAACTCTCACTTGTTCCTTAGCTTTTAATGTGCACACACTTTTTTCCCCTCCTATGTAGAAGAAAGGAGGCTTCTCGCCTGGAGAAGAGGAGGCTGAGGGAAGACCTGATCGCACTCTACAACTACCTGAAAGGAGGTTGTAGCTAGGTGGGCGTCAGCCTCTTCTCCCAGGCATCTAGTGACAGGACAAGAGGGCATAGTCTGAAACTGCGACAGGGGAGGTTCAGGCTAGGAATTAGGAGGCATTTCTTCACAGAAAGGGTGGTTAGGTATGGGAATGGGCTGTCCAGGGAGGTGGTGGAGTCACCATCCTGGAGGCGTTTAAGAAAAGATTGGGCATGGCACTTAGTGCCATGGTCTAGTTGACATGGTGATGTTAGGGCAAAGGTTGGACTCAGTGATCCCAGAGGTCTCTTCCAACCAAATCAATTCTGTGATTCTGTGATAAAAGAGTACTGTCATGGGTCTCCCTCACCTTAAGACTGAGAAATGAGCTGCTGCTGCTGGAACAGCGTGCATGGTGCTGGCACCCTGGTGCTCCTAAGCTGAGAACCTCTTGCCAGAACATGGGTTTCCCTCCGCCTTGGCTGATTTCCCCTGGGCTCCTGAAGCATGAGGTCCCATTGTGATGAATATTCAGTGTGCCACAAAATGAAATCATATGGGGGCACTGTATCATGATAAATGGCATATTTACTTTCCAAACATAGGAAGACGAATTCTTCAGTAAGAAGTTTGGCCTGCTCTATGTCTGGACTTCACTGTGTCTGTATCTCTCTTGCCTATGTGTTGGGGTGGGTCTTTATGTGGAAGAAACACGACTCTTTTAGAAGAAGGACTTTAAATCAATAGATTAAGTACATTTATTTTCTGCCTATCAAGAAGGTAAGAAAAGGAATAGTATTATTTTCTTGTGGCTACTTAAAATATGGTAGGTGAAAAGAAGAGCACCACCGGAGTGGATAATAGTATGTAACAATAATAGTACGTAACAGTATGGCCTTCAGAAAAAGATACCAGGGAAATCTTAAAAGTGATTCTTCAACTAAAATTTGCAGATACTGATGTATGCCTTCAAACTCTGGTACAGCTCTGTTTTTGTTGACAAGCTTTTGTAGCTGGCTTCCTAGTGAAACTCGCAGGCACAAACTCTCCTGCTGCTGCAGTAAAGAAGCAGGAGTCTGAACTTCTAGAGAAAAATCTTTGATCCTTTCATTAGCTCCTTAATTTGAGATGCTTTTATTTAGTTTTCTGGCTGTGATCAGCTAGGGAGCAAGGTGCTTCTCTTTCCTTAAAGACAGTGAGAGTACTTCTAAGTAGTGCCTATGAAGCACTTCCTGTGCTGTTTCTCCACTTTCTTTGGGCTGCTTATCTGTCATTTGACAGACAAGTAGGGAAGCAATTCTCACCATCAGAAGTCTCAGGTTCCTTGAACAGAAGTGATCTAGTGTTTGTTTCTCCCAAGTATGAAGGGTGAGATCTTGGGCCATATCATTAGCTTTAAGGACACCACGTTTTTCCCAAGTTTTGAGGGCTTGATCCTTCTCTTGTTTACGCTGTGGTATATTCAGTTTAGCTCTGACATATGGGAAGTACACCAATATACAAATAGGTTTTAATTCTGAGAGACTATACTGGAAAGTTCCATGTTTTGTGAAGATAAATTGTATAGCAAATACACATTCTTTATGAAAAATAATTCTTTTTAAAGTTTGGATAACTTTTAATCAGACTAATGGAAATGTAATAAGCTGGAAAATAGCACTTAGTCCAATAATAAATTTGCATGGGAAGATCGTAAGAAATAATTGGTAGATTTTTTCCCCCTTCAAATACTAAACTAAATTAGCTCTCCATTGATCTGACTTGGATGGATCATTGAGTCTCGACTTAAAAATACAGCATAGGGAGTATGTAAACACTCTGCTAGCATGGCCTGAAACACTGGTATCCCTAAAGAATTATTGACTTCATTCATGCAATTACGAATGCCGGGGGAATGCTGATTTAGATGTGAGGCCCCCAGCATAAAGCACTGGGCATTAAATGCATGAGCATTTCTTCAGAGCAGTTTAGCTGAAGTTTATCATGACCATTCAGCTATTGCCTAGCAACTTGTGAAGGCCATCAAAGAGCTCTTTGTCCATAGCTCTGGCAAAAACATTTCCTCGCAGATATCCTTATCAGTATCAAAATCAACATGAAAACTTATCAAAAACAATTTTATTGCATAAGAGATTAATACTCACTTGAAATTGTGGCAATCACAAGCCAGTACACTGTTGATACCATTGTTGTAAAAGCTGAGGCTAATCTTGCTTTGTAAGTTAAGGCGAAAACATTTCTTTTTCCTCACTAATTTCTAGCTTTTCTATAAAAGCGTAGCTTGCTTTGCTGAAATTTCATATAAAACATCAGAGGCTGAAAAAGTCTGGTTTTATTTTTTAATCCTTTTAATATTTCTAACCTATTCTTTCTCAAGAATACACATACTTGATTTTTACAGCTATAAGATGTGAAACTTAGTTTCTCATTTTTAAGTGCCTTGTGAACTCATCTGAAGAACAGTGAATGAATGAGATTTAAAACTACTTTTATAAGTAGAGATGCAATAAATTACTAAATGAATTAGTATTCCTGCTTTGCTACATTCCTTCTTGACACTCAAACAGTAGTGAAATTGATTTTGCTTATGATCAATACTGAATATAATAAAATTCCTTTTCTAGTGAAACAGAGGTAATATTCAGCACTCTTTCAGTACGTTATATTGTCATAATTATTATTCAATGATATTTAGGATACACTTTGCTAAGTAGAGGGATATCATTCTTCACCTGGCTACCTCCTCGTAAGGGGTGAAAGTGGGAAAGAAGAGCGAATTTTTTCATTTTCCCTAATGAATAATTTAATTTTCCCTGATGTGTACTGGAGGAACTTTTTCCTTTTTCATTTTTAATGGTAGTTGTTCATTCATTGAAGTATCATAGCTTTATGCAGCATGAGGCCCATTGTCTTTTCTATTCCAGTGTGCCTAGTATCACCCTTTGACACCATGCTGTCATAAAGCATCCTCTGTGCACAGATCAAGACGATATAATTGAGCCTGGTGTTATTGTATATCACTGGTCTACATAATCTCAGATAATGCACTGTGGTAACTCTTGGCAACCACTGACTTGTTAATAGTGACCATTGTATACTGAACACCACTGAAACCCATTAAGACTCTGTGAAAAATGTTTTCTCTAGCAGGGTTCACTGAGTGAAACTATGTGTGATATGACAGATAATACTTATGTGAACAGAATGCTAGGCTCAATTCTGAAATGCTCTGCATGTGTCTACTTGTGCTTTCACAGACTTTAAACCCAAGTTCTCAAATTTGGGAACCTCAGGCTGAGCAATCTTACGCATCTGAAATAAGTGGTCTTGTTTCTAAAAAAAATGCTGTGATCTCATGCTGCTCATGTGCATCAGCATCTCTCAAAATCAAACCACTGTCTTTTATCTTATTTACCCACAAATAGAGAGTTAATGACAAAGTTGACCCAGGCTACTGAGAAGCAAGTCTACACTGCCTCTCAAATGTAGATGAAAATAGGAGAATTACATTGCCTATGCAGGCAAAAATGAAAAAGTAATGATATAAGAAGCCTTTCATTTTTTGACAATAACTTTGGTTTAGGTTACCACTAACCAATGATCATTGTACAGTTAGGGCTTTTAGGTGGCCTGTGTACTGTCTACTGCTGGTTAGCAACTGGATTATAAAAGGCAAGAGTTTTCTCTCTTGCTGGCATTAGTTGGTGCAATCTGTTGAACCACATATTTGATTATTCAATCTGTTGATTGTCCTGCAGAAAAACAAACAAGTTGAGAATCTGGAGTTTCACCCTTCCTCTAATTAGAGAGTTAGTCTTTGGATATAGGCAGCTTTACAAGGCACATGCTGTAGGAGTTGAGGAATCACCTCTGAGTCTCGTCTATCAGTAAACAGTAGAATTATTTTTCGGTATTGTTACAAACAGTAGGTTTTGCTCTTCAAAGTTAAAAGATTTTTTTCTTGTCACATGTGAAACTGTTTTGCTTTTTTAGGACTCTGGCAGCCAGTGAACCTGTGGCATATTTTGCTGGAAATACTTACAAAGCAAGACGTGCTTGTGGTTGGATTCAGTCCACTTTTCCCTTAGCAAAGGGCTTCATTCAGCAGAGGCGCTACAATAATACTTAATTGTTAATGCAAAGTACTGTAGACACAATACGGTCTGAGTTCCAGAGTGGTGCCTGCTGGCATTTAACGTGCAGCATGCTTTTTAAAAGAAGATAGTGGAAAAAACAAACAGGAAAGTTATATTTAATGTTGCTGCATTGCAAAGAAAAAAAAACATGCCTTGATTGGATGATTATAATTAGTGGTTTGTGTTATGATTTATGTATAAGGGTTCAGGTTGTGCCCATTTTATAATCAGTTTTGTGCCAAAAATGGTTAGACAAAGCACTGACTGACCAGCATCCTTAACACTGTTGCAGCTAAGCATTTTGGAATGCTCACATGGTGTGTTTGGAAACCCTTTGTGTGCGCTACATTTTTCCATTTGGTATGAGGCTGAGCAGTAATCAGCTCACCACTAATTAGAAATCATTCTGTGTCCTACACCCTATTATTACACAAAATTATGTCAGACCTTAAGAATTTTTACATTCAGAAGGAAAATTTTCTGCAATACCTTTTGTCATGCATCTCCCTAACATAAAATTTGACAATAAGCTTTTGCTGTTTTGAAACAGCCATTATGGAGGAAGCAAAAGCCATTATTTTGCTGCATTTGAATTACTTTCTACTTGAAATTCTCTTTATTGATACCTGTTGTGAAAATGAGAGGAATGAAAGACCTTTTTTAATTTTTATATATGTCAAGTCTTGGAAAATTACGGAACTCTGTATTATTCAGAGGTTTGTATTCATCTTAGTAGATCTTAGAGTACTGGTGGACAGGAAGCGTGGAGGTAGCATCCCACAGAGCTCCTATGTTCCTTGTATATCTGGAGAAGCGCTTTCCTGTTACAGAACTCAGGATCAGCCCTTATGTACATCTTATCAAAACTGGAATATGAAAGAAATTCACTGTTTTGGGGGAAGGCAGGAGCAGAGATGCAAGTTTACCTTGTTCTGTTTTCCTGATGTTAGTGATATTTTCATAACCAGGTTTTGTGAGCTGTGTTTTAAAAATGAGTCCTCTGAGGACCAAAGACCTAACCTAACTATGCATAAGAGTTCTTTACAAAGGCTGACAGTTTTGTTTATTTATGGTTGCAGGCATTCATTGTGACAGCGTATGTGCTGAGGGACAGTGGGGCCCAAATTGCTCGTTGTCTTGTTACTGCAAAAATGGAGCATCCTGCTCTCCAGATGATGGAATCTGTGAGTGTGCACCAGGATACAGAGGCACCACTTGTCAGAGAAGTAAGGACAAAATAAATGTTTTAAAATCTCTGTTTCTCCCTCCCTTACTTGGAATACATATGAAATAATACCGTAACGCTTTGTTAGTTGTAGTATAAAGTACTATGAAACACTCCTTGATTGGACATTTTGTCAAAATGTATGAATATACAGAAATAAGTGTTATCTGAAATCAACAAATGTTTCCAGCTAATAGTGCTCTTCTTGTTATGGTACAACTCTACTTTTATTCACTGACTGTGCTGTGATGTCGTTACGCACATGACTTTCTAAGAAACAAATTTAGTAGGAGATTCCATTCTAAAGGCAAGCATTTCCAAATGTGATTGACTAACATTAATTTTGTAATACATATTTTGGTAAATAAATAAAACGTGCATAAGTTTCAGAAGCTAGAAGCCTTAGCTTCCCATTGAGTCTGGTAGGAATCATTGGCTTAATTACTGCACTTTTTTAACACTTATTTTGAAGCAGCAAAGAATGGCCAGTGGGATCAGACCTCACAGTAAGTAGAGGATATCGTAGGTACACATAGTTGCATTTGAAAACTTTGTCTCTTTAAAATTTAAAGAGAGATACAGTTGAAGAGAGACACAGATGAACTGAGGTACATTGTACGAGAAACAGGGAGGTGAAAATAAGATGATGTGCAAAGTATCTACCCCCTCAAGAAGATCTGTCACAGTTTGCCAGCAGTCTAGCTGTTTTCAGTTTGAATTGTTGAAGCTGTGGGGGAAAGATGTTCAGAGAAGAGAAATGTGAGTCCTCTGCACTTAGAGGGTAGCCCTGTTTTCAGAGGAGGTGTCCCAGAAACATGGTCAAGAAGCAAGTGGAGTAAGGGCAAGCAGAGATGCTACTACATCCTCCAAAAGAGGCTTAAAAGGCAGGAGACAACATGAAATGATTACTAGAAGGTAGAAGGAGAATCAGAGGAGGATGAAGTCTAACAGTCCAGGAATGGCAAGATTTCAAGCTGAAGAATGTGACTGCCTGTGGCACTACTAAATCCCACATTAGTGTGGTATTACTATTCCTTAAGCAATTCTAAGTAAGTGCAGTGATTACTCTCACTATCTAATCTCTGAAGGCCTTGCAGTTAATCAGTTAATCAGTTAATCCAAAGGCAGACTAAGTGTAACACTACATGTAAAAATGTTGCCTGTCTTTTGGAGCTATGCCTATAACCTGCACAAGAGGCTTCCAGTCCGGTGGCTTTTGGAGCCCCTCTGATGCACGGTCTGGAGGCTGGGAAGACAAAAGTCATAGAATAATTTGGATCCCAGTCGGAAAGTGCCTTTTCAGTAAACAGGAAGACCTTTTGGCACTGTTTCACTTGGAAAAGTTAATCTCTCTAGAGAGATCTGGCCACACAACTTGTATCAAACGTAGAATTAAAAGACTGAATCTGGAATGAAATTAAAATATTGAAAAGATTCCAAGTTAGTTTTCTTCCGTGCTAATTGCTGCTATGCAACAGGTATTTCTCTTGATGCATCACCTAATCTAATTTATCAGGAAATAAATACCAGAAGGGATTAGAGCAACAAAGGAGATTTTACGCGACAGCCTTTTTGGTCCCCCTCCGTTTTTTTTTTCTTTTTTTAAAGAAACTAGTGCCTTTAGCATAAAAATTAAGTGGACGACTCTGTATTTCTGGTCTCAAATTCTCTAAAAGGTAGGAGATGCATAGCTGTCTGTACCACAAAATGAGTATAGTGAGTACCGAAATGAAAGGATGACTGGAAAACGTATGTTTTTCTCAGTGAAGTAATGGGTATTTGCATTCCAAGTTAGAAAACACATAAGAAGTCAAGGTCTAAGATGACCCTACTCACCTACAGATAAAACTATCCACTCTATTTTTTTAAATTACTTTTCTTCAAATATGCTTTAAAAGATATTCATGTTGTAGAAGACATATAATGTGTAGCCAAATATCTATAATATATAAAGTGTATAAGCATTTCAAACATAACCCAAGTACAGTGTGACCTGACAAGTAATAGTATGTCAACTAAGTCATTACTAACTAGAATGTAGTAAACCCTTGAGAAACACGAGCAAATCTCCTTTCCTGAGTGTAAAGCATTGAACTGTATGAATAATATCAACCACTATTGCAACTCTTGTGTATTTTGAAAGCAGAGCTAATTCAAAGTCAGGAACAACTGCACTGAAGAGTAGTTCACGGCTGTATAGAACATGCAGGAAGCAATGACAGTTTGTTCTTTCTGATTCCAGTTTGTTCCCCTGGATTTTATGGACACCGCTGCAGCCAGACATGCCCCCAGTGTGTACACAGCAGTGGTCCCTGCCACCATATTACTGGCTTATGTGACTGCTTACCTGGATTTACAGGAGCCCTCTGTAATGAAGGTATAAGTTGTAATGAATAGTCTATGGGATGCAGAGACAAAGCACTGTAATAATTTTCGTTCCATCATGTGGAAACTATAAAACTGAAAATACTTTCTGTTGTAGTACGTGCAGTTTATGATTTGGGAATTTAGGCAGGTTTAAGCTGTTTGAACATTTGATCCTTAAGTATGAAACCCACTGTATTCTTATTTGTATTATTTGTATAATGAGTATGTATAATGGGCTTACCAGAATTTATAATACCTTACTTTAACATTACACAAAGTAATATGTTTCTTGATCCAAATATCAGTTGCTTTCCCTTCAAATAAAGAATATACAATCTTGTTCTGATTACTAAGGAGTTCTAACTCTGAGAACTTGTTCTCAGTATGTCCCAGTGGCAGATTTGGCAAGAACTGCATTGGAATATGCACCTGCACCAATAATGGAACATGTAATCCTATTGATAGATCCTGTCAGTGTTACCCTGGCTGGATTGGTAGTGACTGCTCTCAGCGTAAGTATCAGCTTTCTTTTGTTTATTTTTAAAACAATCAGCGTTCGTCTATTTAAAGTCTCTTTGGTAAAGAAACACTTGTCTAAGTCAGAAATGAGGACTTCATGGTATATAATCCATGATTCTAAACTTTTCTGCATTTCATCAGCACTATCAAAAACACATTGGCCTTATGATTTTTCTAATAAGTGGGCTGGAGCTTGTGACAGGAGAGATGAATTTTCACTGCCCAAAGAAGAGTCGTAGAGAAGCTGGATCAGACTTGTTTCAGAAGCGCATTATGAAAAGACAAGAGGCAATGCTCACAGGTTGCAGCAAGGGTGACTTTTACTAGGTACAGGAGAAAAAATCCTTACTGTGAGAGTGGTCAAGCATAGCAGCTGTCCAGAGAGGCTCTGAAGTCTCCAGCCTGGAAGAGGTTGTGAAATGGTCATCGTTGAAGATCCTTTGAGTAGGATGTTGAGTAGGTGATGCTAGAGGTCTCTTCCAACATGAAAAAATCTGTGACTTGATGAATCTTGTATTGCAGAGAGGGTTCTTGACCTGTTGTGTTTGCTTGTCTGTAATTATTTAGTATTATCACAGTAGTAGTGTGAACATCCCAGGGCTTGTATCCTCCGGACAGTCTTATGAATAACAGAGGTATTACTTTACTTTACAAATAAGGAGCTGAGGCACTGAAATACAGAGTGGTTTTTTTTATTACAGTTGCATAGAGAGCTACTGGCAAGGCTCGGAACAAAGCCAAGATATTCTCACATATAAGATAGTGCTGTAGCTGCAAGACCATCCTTGTTCTTGTTAAACATTTGAACGTTTTGTTAAGAAATTTTTCACTATGTCTTTTTTATGTGTTTATAAGTTCTTGATGGATTTTTCTCTTTCTTCCTTTTATAAGTGTTTCACATACACATTTTTAGTGTCATTCTATCTCACTTGATGAGTGTTGTCTTGGTATGCTAAACTCAGTGAAGACTTTGTTACTGACTTAAAAAGGAGAAGGGCTAAGCCCTAATTTTATTATGTTTCATGGAGTTATTTTATTAAATAATTAGGCATTCTCCAGATGCCTTGCTGGGTCTATGCAAATTACTAATGACCAGAAAGAAATATCTGAAGCAAAATTCTCACAGGAAGCATATCCAATTGCATAAGGTACCAAAATGCACACAGTCTGAAATACATGCATGACAAAATTTCAGTCAACCCATTTTTATGAATAAAAGAAGCTGTACCAGACCCTGATATGTCAAAATTCAAAAGACATTGTGCTGGGGTTTCCAGGGAGGTTCCTTTCCTAATAACATGCCTCATTGGTTTATATCATTTACGATTTGACTGGTCCAGGTTAACTGGCTCTGTACCAATGCAATGTAACATCTGGTCAAAAAAAACCCCTTTGCTGGCTAAATTCTGCAAAGTGATTAGCATGCACAACTCAATATGATACCAAAATAAATCTTGGGCCTATTCCTGTGTAAGCCAGTAGCAACAAAGATCCCTGTTTTTATGGTAAAATAAGTAGGTAGTTGGGAGAGTAGCAGAATAGGGGTATTTAGGAGGAGGAGGGACTTAGTCACTGAATCAATGACAAGAAAATGGTGCCAGCAATATGAATGGAAGCGTCTATTGAGGCTGTGCTCATGGACCGTAACAGAGGAAGTTTATTTGCTTTGTATAAAGGCCTTTCGTTCACATGGAAAATAATGATTCCATTAATTTCTTTTGGAACTAGCGACCTTTTTGAAACTTCTAACCTTTCGTCTGTATGTGATTTACATTCCTTCTTAGTTGACCACTAATTTCAAACACAAAACAATAATAAAAATCATTATGAGTCACAACTGAAGTGGAAACAACAAAAAACAAACTTAGTATTTTTGTTTCAATACAACGTAGTGTGTTCCTTAATGAAGTGAAATTTGGGCAAAGATAACACTTTGCAAAAATAAAGTCCACATGTAGATGAGTCATTATGCAAACATTTAAAGGATTCAGGAGCTTTTATTGCTCTCAGGCAGGTCTCTGGACAACCAAATCAGTACACAACAATAAGGAGTTATCAGCCTTTTTAAGCTTACACAGGAATAAAGCTAAGGCTTCTCTATCTGACCTGTTTTTTCTCTCCTGTGAAATACTCGTGTTGTACTTCCACAAAACTATTTTTAAATTATGCATCTCTTTACTAAACAAGCAAATAAAAACCTCAAGATGTGAATCCTAATCAACAGAAAGGGGCTATTCTTAGAGTACACTCTGCACTTAGTGATATTCTGACATGAAGAAAATTATCTTTTGCTGTCTTTGAATAGTAATTGGCATTTTGGAACCACTTCACTATTCTAATGGCAGCACATAGTACCAAATTCTTTCACCATGGCATTTTCAAAGCAGTCAGTAAAATTCTATCTCATAACATGATTGTTAGTGAAAAAGTCTCCACTTTATGGTTAATTACTTGGTTTTTAGGAATATTATATTGATTAATGGACCCACAGAAGCAACTGAGTTAACTTGATTAAAGTACAGTCCTGATTACGTGCACCACGTTTAGGCAATTATGTAGAATCTAACAGTGCAAATACAAGAAGTAAGCTTAGTATTGGGTTTAAAGCCATAGGCTATAAGATGTGTTTGAACCTTCTTTGTTCTCTTTCACTTTTGAGGCTTAAAACGCTTATCCCCTTGACTGTTCTCAATTGACCTGTTTGCAGATTAAATAATAAATTCAGAAAGAAAACTTACCTGGCCTTCTCTATGAGAAAGCTGGTATCGGTGTCCTAGTTACTGAGTATCAAGCATGTATCACTGGTTTCTTTCACACATTTAATCTTTTTCAGCACTTTTTCTGTAGAGTAAAATCATTCCTTAGCTCAAAAAAAAAGATCTGTCGCTATTTGCTCAGAATGGAGCAGCCCAAAAAACATGTTTAAAAGAAAAACAACAAACCCCAAACGAAGCAGTGCTCATATGTGAATGTAAGCAGCTATAGTCATGAGTATCAACGAGCTTTGTCATTTGAAATTAATTAATTGCTCTGGGTTGTTTTAGCTTGCCCACCTTCCCACTGGGGACCAAACTGCATCCACACATGCAACTGCCATAATGGAGCTTACTGCAGTGCCTACGATGGGGAGTGCAAATGTACCCCAGGATGGACTGGCCTTTACTGTACACAAAGTAAGTGAGTTTTGTTATCTGTTCTTAGTCTACAAATCAGTGACAGAATTTTCCTTCAGTATTTTCACACTTTAATCATTGATTTCTTCTCTTTTTTTTTGATCCAAGAGATGCCAACACATTACCTCCATGGTTGCAGGGGAGGCCCTGTTATAAGCACTGGCAGATTGCTAGCCACTACTTTTGGGCTCCTCTTTAGCCTTCCTTCAGAGGAAGACAACTTTTGGCCACAGCCAGGCATCCCTGTGGAAGAATCTGTCATGTGCACATGCAGAATGAATGACTGACATTCAGATGCTACCATGGCAGATGTGCGGTTATGGCTGCAGTCCGTAGCATGGGTGCTGTCAGATCTGCTGGCATTCCCCACAGGGTGGGATGACGGTGCTGTCTAATTCCTTTCCTCTCTGAAATCTCCCCAAGAAGTACTCCATCAGCAGGGACCCTACAACCAATATTGTAAGATAACACAGAGCTGACTGAAGCCATGGGAATAGCTTCTAGCTTAGCTGTGGCTGTGGTCTACTGAGGCACAGTACCTGTTGTCACTGCAAAGTGATCATACAGTACATCTTGTATCTGTACTTGCTACCTCCTGGGGGCAATTGCAACAACAGCTCTAGCTCAGCACTTGTAATTCAAATACTGATATAGAAGCTATTTTATTTGGAACTTAGAAACTTAACTTCACAAGACTGTAATGTTATAATTTGTTTTGAAATTTTCTTCATGTAATTAATACATTAATGCTATTTTTTTTCCAAGAGCTTTTCATTAAAATAAAAATATCAGCTGTGCAGTGACTGGGTATATGGCACTCATTATATGCTGGGTAAGAGTTCATACAAAGCTTGAGAAATAAACATTTGTTAGAGACAGATATTGATAAAGTTGGCTTCTTGTCTTTATTGTATTACAGCTTCAATTTGGTTTGTCATCAATCCAGGTACCTCCACTGTCTGTAATCTAGGCACAACCATTATCTTTGAACTCAAGAAAAATAAGACTGCTGTGTTTTGTATTCAGTGTTTAAATACACATTTTTCATAAAATCAGAGCTCTCTTTTCTAAACTGAATAATGTCATAGTGGCAGGAAATAACAGATCTATTATAGAGCCATATGGATGCAGCTCTGGAAGTCATCCACTATACTGGTTCAGCTGTCAGCTATCATGGTTGTTTTGCTTCCTGCTGGTGAATAATGATCTCTTTGCAATGATATGTCTTCATACCAAAATGGTATCTTTGTGAGGAGCTGAGGTACAATATGTTATTATTTTTATTTTTTTATGCTCCAGTATCAACTACACAGAAAATATGTCCAAAGATTCATTCATCACTGAACAGATTTCCTGCTCTGGTTCACAATCTGCCCTCTTTCTCCTCCTTCAAATATCTTCTTAAACCCATTTCTTCAAGGAGCCCTTCTTGCTGCCGCCTTCTGAACAGCTGCTGTCCGCACAATTTCCCAGCCTCATTTTTATGTAGTTTTTTGCCTGATGTGTATTTTAAATGACTTAAAATAGAGTAGGTCTTGATTTATTGTGTTTATAAAATGTCACATTGAGTAGCGGGGCTACAGAAATGACTTCTCAAAAACATACTTAACTAGAATATTTGCATTTTATTTCTAAAGCGGTTGTTTCACTCCTTTTCCCCTTCCCCTCCTTGTACTGCAGGATGTCCCCTAGGGTTTTACGGGAAGGACTGTGCATTGATATGCCAATGTCAGAACGGAGCCGACTGCGACCACATCAGTGGGCAGTGCACCTGCCGCACAGGGTTCATGGGGAAGCACTGTGAGCAGAGTGAGTAGGGATGGGAATTGTTCGTGCCTGAGAGCAAATACTAAAACCTGAGCCAACCCTCTTGTTTTGGCCAGTGTTGTGATACAACCTCTTGGCTTCACTGGGAATTTTGATGTTTTTTTAGGAGTTGGAGCTAGGCTTTTTCCAGAGAGATAAAAGCCCGCAGAGTTAATTACTAAGACTGGTTATGATTGTGGTGCCTGTTTCTTTCAATTTGTAGCTATATGTAAGAGCCATTTGTACTACATTCTAGTTGCTTTGGACATAATGCTAAAAAAAAACCCAACCCAACAACTCTGTCATGTAAGAGTAACAAAAGAGTCCAAGTAATTGTCATTAGCATAAACCACAATGAAAACTAATAGTTAGAAAACTGAAGATAAGAAGTACCACATCAATCCTGGTGGATAAAATTAATCTTTACAATACAATTGGATTATAAAAGCATAATAGATGGCATTTTTTTTCATATATGTGTGATTCTTTACCCAAGAAAATCAAGAATAACACCAGACATCAATGGTGGTATAATGTTGTACAACGTTAAAATAATAATCAGGCTCACAAACGCAGAACTGTTAGTCCAACTTTTGCTAACATTACAGAGGGGTGCTCCCAGACTTCATGCATTGTACTGCAGCGCAAAGCAATCCATTCAACCTACCGTTGTGACGGTTTAAATCTGTCTTTGCATCAGTGTTGTGCACAGAGCTTTGCTTTTGATGTGTGGAGGACACTGTGTATTACCTATAACCAGGACTGATTTAGCTGCATCTGGATCTGAAGGGCTGTGCAGTGGCCCAGATAGCATGTGTCACACCTGGCAGTCCTGTAGCAGAAGGGAGGGGAGGTTACTGTCCCTGTAGACACACATTTTTCCCTAGCAGTGGGTCTAACCCCAGCTGCAACAGGAGTTGTGTTTTTAAGGCTAGTGAACATCTATGGTAGAACCACAAAAAATTTGGAAGTGGATTTTTTTCTTTTCTAGGGAAAATACAGTTGCAACAAAATCTGAGTGGTTTAGAGGAATATATTTATTTCAATGAAATAGTAGCTGGCAACATGTAATTATTAGCTATTTAAATTTTCTTATTCCACTTTGATGATTTCAGTGTTCCACTTCAAAAGAGCAATAATGTTTAGGAAAAGATAAAGTTTTTAAGATCCTCTCTTTATGTCATGATATCAAAAAATCATTTTGAATTCTTTGGCAAAACTAACTTTATGTTTTATAGATGTTATATTTTACCCTATAATTTTATAATAATGATTTAACAATATTGAACTAAATATTTTGGTATTTCTGAATTTGAACATCAGTTATAAAAATTGACTTTTCATTCCAGTTCAGATTTCAAAATGCCAAAACATATTATGGCATGATGTTTTTTGCCCAGCTATTGACTCCAGTAGTTACAATCTTGTTTTATTGAAGGTAACCAAGAGAAGGAGAAGGTATATAAGCATGAAATTCCACTTGAGTCTGGATTTATCAATATGCATGAACATTTCTCTGGCACCTGTTCTGTTACATTGTCTCGCAAATTATTCTAAATTAGGAATATATAAAAGATGAGTTAGATTCTTTTAATAAGAAAAAAAGAAAACAAATTAATATAGTTACAAAACTCCTGAGAGATTTCAAAAAAATGAGTCTCATAAGGTGAGGAAATACCATACTTGCTCAAACCCATGGAACTACAATAATGTAACAAGCCACACAGTAACAGTGGTGGCAGTATAAAAGAAATAATTTTTATCAGTGTAGGATAATTCTCTACCATGCTAATTACATGATGTAGGAAACACTTTGATCAGTAGTTAGTTATGTATTCAGATCATTCTGGGAGAGAAAAAATAATGTAAAACTCTTCCAATTAGCTTACTCTTCATAATTTAGCATGTTTCTCCTGTAGGTAGTTTCTCAATGTATATATTACAGTATCAAAGTGTGCTATAAGCAGCCTAGGACCAGTTTTATTTTTCTGTAATGCATGGTGTATATTAGACTCATTCTTATGGCCCTTGTCTCTTGCTCTTTTACCACATCAGCACATCTGTCATATGACATGACACCAGCCAGATGTCTCCCTCCACTCATATGATTAAATGGTTTTTCAAGCACTTGATTTGAGTAACCTGGGAGACCTGACATTCTGGTGTACAACTGGCACTTTGTTCACATTTTGTCCATTTCTTCACTGTCTTCAACCCTTTTAATTTTTTTTTTTTTAAAAAAAAATCTTCCTAATTTCACTGCCTTAGTGGCAGCAACATTACAGATGAAGGAAAATCACTTCTGAATACAATTTCCTTCTCCTTTCCTGAGCGTACACACACATGCACACATAGAGAGAGAGGCCCTCTTAAGGAATGTTTTCTGTAGAGGTCTACCACTAATAACACATTGCCATCTGCTGGCCATGTACAAAAACGTATGGGGTTAGAAACAAATGGTAGCATGTATGGTGCTGTAGATCTGTAATAATAAAGCATTTAAGTGCTGACTATGTCTGATTTTTATTGGCACTTATTTCGTGCAGAATGCCCTCACGGTACATATGGATATGGATGCCGGCAGATATGTGACTGTCTGAACAACTCAACTTGTGACCACATCACGGGAACGTGTTACTGCAGCCCAGGCTGGAAAGGGGCCAGGTGTGATCAAGGTAAATCCTAGATGCAATAAAATTATTGTAATTGTTCTAATATAAAACTTGGATTAAAGCTATTAAATGCCATCCCTGTATCATTCATTAAATTAAACTGATAAGGTATGTGTTTAAATAGTCCATTCTGTTAAATTATGTATGTTCTGTAGATTTTGTAAGTATTAGAAGCCTCGGTGATAGTTTCTTGGAGCAAAGCACTCAAGTGTAGATTGCATGAAATGTTTTACAGTGCTGTGCTGTCCAAAGCTGCTGATAGAGCATGTGCTTTACCTGCTCTGTGCTTTTGCCTAGAGAATGTTCTTACTTTTTTAACTCCGTGAAAGTGTATCTTTCTATGAAGAAGATGAACACTTTTACTTAAGGCTAGGATTGTCTTCACATTGGTTTATGACATAGTTCTATTTTCACATTATTAAATACAGTTAAATTAGCAGAAAGATTTAGAAGTGAAATACTGCCTTCTGCTTCTGACACATAAGCCTCTGAATTGACGCCACATATTTTCATGTCTTCTTGTATTTCAGCTGGTGTAATTATAGTGGGAAACTTGAACAGTTTAAGCCGTACCAGTACTGCCATCCCTGCTGATTCTTACCAGATAGGGGCTATAGCAGGCATCATCATTCTTGTTCTGGTTGTGCTTTTCCTGCTAGTGCTGTTCATCATTTACAGACATAAGCAGAAAGGAAAAGAAACAAACATGCCCGCAGTGACCTATACCCCTGCTATGAGAGTCATCAATGCAGATTACACCATTTCAGGTAAGTGGCATTTAGAACCGTTTTTTTTCTCTGTCTCTCGACTATGTGCTTTTTTAGCTGAGCTCTGAAGGTGTTCCAATCTGCCCCTAACAGGGCTCGAACGTGAATGTTTCACCTTTTCACATTAGCGAGGGCTGCTGTGAGCAGGAACATACTCAATTTTGAAAAGGGTGTCTACAATTCTGCCTTGGAAATTCTTCCTGGAAACCCTTGCAGGGGAGGGTTTCCCTCTTTAGGAAGAGGAAGACAGACAGTGCTCTCAACTGCCTTTTGCGGGAGAACAGCCCCTGAGACCACACTTGACAGTGGTGCTGGTGCACACGAGACCAGTCAGATGCGACAGTGGACTTGTGTGCTTACCTTTCAGCTATCAGAGACAGTTCTCCTGAGTTCAGAAGCATGCTGCCCCAGCATCTAGAGCTGCTTAGTTTGTTCTGCTTTATAGTCTTTTAATCTCTGCTTTTGATACTATGAAGGTGGCTTACCCTAGTAGTAGATGTTAATTGTAAGGAACCAGTGACCATATATCTCACTTTACTTTGTAACATTTTGCATCCTCAAATGTTTTTCTGCATTAAACAGTGGAATTATGGACATTTCTATTCCTCTGTGCCTATTTTTAAACAGAACTGGAAAGTGTGGCAAAATACGGTTTCTACTGAGACTTTAAATTCAATGCCAACAGCTTGAATACAGAAAGACTGCTACAGCTGTAGAAAATCAGGATTTCACACTAGCTGTGGCAAGATTCTGTAGAGAGGCAGATAGCAGAGTGGCTGGAGTTTGGAACAAATGAAGGGAAGGAGCAATGCTCCTGAAACAAAACAGGAGTTTTCGACCTATGAAAGCGCATGTGAGTTGGGATGCACTGGGTACATGAAACTTCAGGCAATGCTGTCTTTTGCATACAGCTATTAAGGAAGGCAGCAGGTAAAGAAGCCAGCAGAAACAGTTGTCAGTGTCAAGAAAGATGTATCAGCAAGGTGGTGGTGCTCTTGAAGCACCAGTAAAACATTGCTGTGAACTTGATGATAAAAATGTCTATACATAGGACAATGTTATGACTACAGAGGCAAAGGAGAGCAAGGGACCACACCAGAAAGAGAAGTTAGCAAGTAACACTTGTGAATGCTTTTTGCTGAAAGTGAGGACATGACTAGTCAGTTACTGCTATGTATCTCTAATTTCTTTACATGAATGCAAGATTTTTAGATTTTTTTTCAAGAAACTCTAAATCAGGTTCTGAAATCAGTGCAGCACTGTCAAAAACATATCCTAAGAAAGAAATGCCATGTATTTTTAGTTGTTCATTTTCCTTTCTTTTTCTTTTCAGAAACCATCCCTCACAGTAATGGTGGAAATGCTAACAGTCACTATTTCTCTAACCCTAGTTATCATACTCTAACTCAATGCACTACCCCACCTCATGTCAACAACATGGACAGACTGACCCTGGCAAAGGTAAAGCATGAAAATCTGGATGCTTCTATGTAAATTAGCCTTTGGTTTATTTTACTTTGTTCCCCATTGTTTCATATTTGGTTTATTTTTGCTTTGCCTCATTATCACCTGGAAATTCAGCAACTTCCTATCAGTTTCAGTTTCTATTACCGGTCTGTCTTTGAAATAGGCAAAAAACAATCAGCTGTTTGTGAACCTTAAAAATGTGGAACCTGGAAAACGAGGCACTGTCATGGACTACACAGGAACACTGCCTGCAGACTGGAAACATGGTGGCTACCTCAATGAGCTTGGTAAGAAAAAAACAAAAGGAGGAGAATGTGAATGTGATTCATTGTGTTTGAGATGGGTCAGAAAGCAGAGTTATTTTCTGGGTTCTCCACTCAGAATAAAGTCAGGCTTGTCAGACTGCGTGTGAGGTTCAGGGTTATGGGTTTGACCTTCCTTTAAGGCAATACCCTTAGAGATAAAAAAGTGACTTCTTGTGAGGAATGGTGAATCAACCTGATGCCAAGTGCAGACATGATATGCAAAATACCTCATATTATCTTTGTAAAAAGATTTGCTTATTAATTAGTTTCATAAAACAATAGGTATTGTACAATAAGGGTCTGCTTTGGCAAAATTACATATTCTTATTAAATAAATGAGAGGTTGCATATATCCTTTTTTTTTTTTAATCCCCACCAAATGGAATCAATGCTTTAAAAAGTAGTTTCTCATCATCTGAACAACTTCAGATGTAAATTCTAGGAGCATCTTCCCAGCTAAGCCTCCTGTTCACTAAAAGATAGAGCATTGTCCTTAAGAAGAAAAATTCCTGAGAAGTGGTGAGAGTTGCTGTATCCTGCTTTATGCTGTCTTTTGCTGTCTTTTCATCTTTTCCCAATCTTATGCATTCCAAAAAGGCTGATTGCACTGACCACATCTCTGACCAGTGAAAGCCTTGAAAGGGACTTTCAATGCTAGTATAATTTAGATCATTTAATTACCTTAATTTCTGGTGCTTATCAGTATCAGATTCTGGGAATCAGAACAACAGTATGCAACGTTATTTTTTTTCCTGCTAATCCCCAGTCTTCATCTAACCACAATTTAGGCTCGGAGCAGGTTTTTTTCAGAAAAGAGTTTTAGTTGTAATGCTCAGTGTTCAACTTTACACTTTCTTAAAGCATTTGTACTAGCACTTAAGACTCCTAAGAGATACTGGCTGTGGTTAACCCACTGCAGTAGATCTTGAGTAACAAGGAGATTCTAGAGGACTAGATGAATGCCAATATTATGTCTGTTTTCTAGAAGACCAAATGGGATTACTTGGGTAACTCTAGGCTGGTGACATGGACTTTAGTCTTGGTAAAAACAACAGAACAGCTGACATGAGATCTAATCAATAAAGATGGGGTATGAATAAAATTAATTGGTTTAGGTCTTCTCAAATAACATAATTTCATTCTTGGAAACAATTAATTTTGTTCATAGAGATATTGCATAGATAAAATGGCTTTTGTAAGACTTCTAGCATAGTACCACAATACAATCTGATTCAAAACTACCACTCCATAGTATCAGTCAAATCTATTTGAACGGACTAGTAACCACGTAACTGCCAGGTCTCTGAAGACAGTTGTCAGGCATTGCTGATTGCTGATGTTTATATTGGGATTTATATTGAGAGAAATCTGCTATTAACAGATCAAAGCTGTAGACTTAGGTGCTAGGTATTTAGGCCATTCCTGCAGGTCAAGGGACTGGAACAGAGTGACCTTGGACAACACAATGGGAGTGATTAACTCTGGAAGTAAAGTACCAAGAATTGGAATGAACTTTGCATATCCTGAGATTTTGAGATCAAGATGGGATGCCTTTCTGGTAGCTATGGTTCATCCAGACAAAAAATATGCTTTAACCAAACAGCAGTTATTAGGCTCATTGAAGAGCAACTGGTGGAAATGTAATGGCCTGTGACATATGTGAGCTTAATCTAGATAATTTAATGGTCTCTTATGACCTTAACCACCTTCCCTGTTCAGGAAGCTACTGTTTCAAAGTGTGCAAGCAAATAGTAATAATGCTTCTGTAACCCTGTTCTGGGCAGTTTCACAGTGCATATAAGAGGATTATTCTGCTAAGGTAGAAATTAGTCCCAGAGCCATTTTTAAAGCTTTAGAAGCTGTTATCTAATCACATTTATTTGATTTTAAAACTACTCTGTTTTTTATATTATTTTTCTCAGGTGCTTTTGGACTTGATAGGGGACATTTGGGAAAGTCCCTGAAAGGTGAGGTTATTTTCTGATCCATTTAGACGAAATGACCTAGACATTCAGTTTACTTCTAAATTATCTTTGGTTTCTGTGTGAAGAGAACATAAAATAATTTTGGACTAAATTATTCCTAGACACTGAATCAACGCATGGTTTGTTTTCTTTTTTTTTTTTTTTCCCTGAGGGGAGGGTTTTTTAAAAAAAGCAACAAACCAAGCCTTCCTAAGTCCCCTATGTGTCACATACATCAAATGTTTCTGTAATACTTGAGTCACGAAATGGCTCTATTGCAGACAGCAGAAGGGGGATGGCCCTTGAATACAGCCTAGTGAGCCAGGTAAGGACACATGCTGCCTCTGATAAAAGGCTTTGAAAGAGAGCCAATTCCTCTTGCAACTGGCATGGTCAACGTAGGACTGCATGACTACAAGCCTGAGTGCTTCATCATGGTCACTGCAGGCCTTTGGAAAGGATATCAAAATATGAATACATAGAGAGGAATGAAAACCTTCAGAAATTCAGGGTAGTGATGATATTTTGTTCTTTCGAATTATCCAGTTTTCTCGTAAGACTTTATGCTGAACCATACTGGCGTGTGTCACTATTTTTGTTATATGATTAGGGTATTGCAAGGGTGACTAGAATGCCTGAATATCTGAACAATGAAAAAAGTGTAGCTACGTCCGTATGAATAATGAGTTAAGTTAAATATGTAGACAAAAGCAGCTGATTTGTCACCTTGTATATAATACAGGACAATTAAGCTGAAGCAGTGATTTATTATACCCGACGTTTCCTGGTTTTGGAGGATTAGGGGAAGCCCAATTTAAAATATCTTAAAGGAGTCACAAAGTTATGAGCACCTGTCCACTGACAGGTTCACCAAGGTCAGTCTCATGCTGGATACTCAGAGTCGGGAACAAGCTGAGAAAGTCTCAGCTCTAAAGTTTAAATAACACAGCATATCACAAAACGATACAGAGAACAAAGTAACATGCACACCACAAAATCTCTTCCCAGCATAAGAAAACACATCTTCTCTTAAACTTCATTTATTTTTCCTGCAGTTAAATACTGAAATGACAAGTCACCTGATGTTTCCTTTTCAGTTCCCCTATGTACACCTTATAGAAGCTCATAAGACCCTAGTTACTCTTTTAGTGTGGCTGCATACTCAAACTTTGCACCTAACAGGTCATCCCTAGAAGTCACCTTACCATCTGCCCAGACATTGCTATTGGGAACAATCTTAGATCACTTCTTTTAAGAGTGTGCTGAGTTCAGCAGTTGGAAAGGCAAAAAGTATTCTGAAGTGCCTATGAAAAACTGATTCTACACATTATCTGTATTTAATGCTAGCTACTATTTTAATGAGAATTGAAGGTGCTCAGAGTTTGCAACAGGAATTTGCTGATGGCAAGATCAAGCCCATAAAAGAGCATAGCAGTAGAGGTGCTTTCATTAAGTGCTGTGTAAAAATTTTGAAGTGTTATGACTGGTTTCCATTTAAATATTCATTTATGAGTGACTTTTTAGAACTCAAGATTAAAGAATGCCCTGTTAAGCAGCAATATCCATAGTACGTAGCATGCCTGAGAGAGTAATGTTTCTCTTTTTGCAGATCTAGTGAAGAACTCAGAATACAATTTAAGTAATTGCTCATTAAGTAGTTCTGAGAACCCATACGCAACTATAAAAGACCCACCAGCTCTGCTACCAAAAAGCTCAGAATGCGGATATGTTGAAATGAAGTCACCAGCACGCAGGGACTCCCCGTATGCTGAGATCGCTGGCTCTGCTTCAGCCAATAAGAATGTTTATGAAGTTGGTAAGTACCAAGTCTACTTCTAGATGTTGAAGATTAAAAACAAAGAGCACCGGACTTTTTTTTCATTGAATCAGTTTAATCAAAACACATGAAGAATCACTGAAAAAAATGATTATGCGTTCAGATTCTCTTTTCTGCTCAAAAGCTGTAACAACAGTCTCATTCTTTTGAGATAAATGGTGTAATTCACAAGAACGGAGTTTGAAATACATTCAGCTCGGTTCTATAACCTAGGGATACCTCTGAATTTCCCTGGTTTGAAAGCTTTTCTTTAAACAACAGCATAAGATAAGCTTAGCAATTGATTGCAATATAATTCAATTCCAGATTAGGCTGTTAAGTACTGAACACAGCTGGAGTAAGTGTATGGGAGGGATAGAAAAGATCTGTTTTTTCCTCTTGATCAGAAAAAACAGCACCTTCCTACACAGACATAGTATTTCACTGATATAGGCCCTATCTAGTTGCTGCATTACTGTAGTTACTGTATTGACAGAAAACTTTGGGGTCTTCTGGAATGGTAGTTATCCTGATGGCCTCTGGACTGGAATAAAGTGTGTATCACATGCCATAGGATACCATTTTCCTTTATGTCCCCAGTTAGAGAATCCTCTGAAATCCATCACTATCCCCATTGTGTTTCTATGGATTTTTATAAAATCTTGATTAAAAGCCCCAAATTTGAGCTTTTTTTTAGTTTATTCACACACAAAGAACAGATGCTGGTCCATTTGCTTCTGTCAGTAAACATGCTCCTGGCAGGGCCCTGCTGCAAGCCCACAGGTGTAACAGCATAAACCCAAAACACCTTAACATTAATATTTGTTTCTACACCTGCATTTCAGGACTCAGCATGACAAGGAATCCTTGAAGCAGAAAGGAGAGGATAATTTGTAATGCAAACTGAAAGAAATAGAGTGTTTGCCTTCTGTTTGCTGCTTCTAGCCTTGAATGTATGTGCTCTCTTTTATCACAGAACCTACAGTGAGTGTTGTCCAGGGAGCATTCAGCAGCAGCGGACGTCTTAGCCAGGATCCTTATGATCTTCCAAAAAACAGCCATATTCCATGTCATTATGACTTGCTACCAGTTCGAGATAGTCCCACATCCTCTACAAAGGAGGTCAGCAGTGAATGACCCCAAAAGCTGGTGTGTATAGCACAGTGGGACTCTGAAGGGGCAAAGTGGCATGGTTGTGCTCCTTCTTCTAGTTAACCATCATATTTGGCTCCTAATCTGTCCAGCAGACAATTGCTGTACATTAAACCGAATCTCAACAGGAGGTTTGTATGTGTATACAAGTAACAGATGGACAAATGCCACACTTTGGGGATCCTGATCATTCTTTTTTTCATGGCAGTAAATTTTATAGAAACAGGTATGCAACACATTTATACTGTAATATACTGGCTTAAAAGTATTAGTTTGCAGATCAATTTTAATAACATCCCATTTCAGCAACTTTAAATATAGACTTCATGTTTGTCATGTTTCAGAGTAGAAATACTCCCAGGACAGTGCAATTTACCAAATACCACTTCGTACAGGTGATCGGATTCACTAGTTATGTAGAAGAAAAACTGCCTTGCCAAATTTTACCTTCCATTCTGACTGGTAGTCAAGACATATTAAGAAACAAGATCTAATGGGGATACCTAAGCACAACACTGCAGTTGTTTAGGAAATCCATCATCAGGTTTTTTTGTCCATTACTGGTGGTGGGCATACCTTGCTTCAATAGTTTTGGAGATTAAAGCATTGTATACATCAATATTATATGATGCCTCAAGATCTCTTGGTACTCCAGAACCAGCACTGGTCTTCAACAAATGGAGTTCATCTCCATATGTTGCAGTTCTGAACACTATTTCTGCCATATGCAACCAATAATCCATAACATATCGGTAATGATTTCATAAAATATGTAAATGAAATCAGTTTATTTTTGTCACCATGGACTGATTATGTAAGGAGTGGACAAAGGTGATGATTGCTGTAAATCTTAACTGCAAGGAAAGGTTTACATTTTATAAACAGGTAGTAATAATGACTGTAATATAGGATAAAAATAGTAAAGTGTTCTGATTTTTTTCTTAGAAATAACTAAGCAATCTCTGTGCATACTTGCTAAAAAGGCACCTTTTCTTTTTTATAGTTGATGTAGGGAATTTACATGCTTAAGCTGGTCTTTTGCATTGCTAATAATGTGACACATGTACCTCTCATTCTTCATTAACTTGTGTCTCCATTTTACGCTGTGTGTCTGTTTCTAGTGATCTAGCTTGGAATTGCAAAAATATTCTATTGTATGTCCATTTCTTTTGCATTTTTGCCAACTGGCCTTTATTTTGTCTGGTTAAAGGGACCTCTGGGCAGAGGGAGAAGATTAAATTAAGAATTCTTGTCATACTGATGTCTCGGAGAGGTGGCTAGCTAATACATAATAGTTTAACTTAATGAATTAATTGGGAAAAAAAATCAAGGTGTTTTTGTCAATAATAACAAGAATGCAGAAGAAAAGTAAAAAACAGTCCCTCTTTAAAGTTAACTTATTCTATTAACTATATGGATGGAGACCATCTTTCCAAAACGCTCCTTTCTCTCCCTCCAAACAGTGTATTATGAAGTGCACAATTCCGTGGCAATTAAATTTGCCAAGGTATCCATCCGTTGAAGCAAAATTGTCCCCCAGACATGTAAACCTAAAAATTAAGTGGTTGATACAGACTGGACATTCTCTTTCAGTGGACTCAGAAACCTAAAACTGATGTGGTAGTATTACTTCCAGCTGCTGCTGCTGTCAGTGATGCTACCTGCTAATATGCTTGTAACATAACCCCAGCAAGCTTTTCCACCCTGCCCTGGCAGTAACTCTGCAGCTTCTTGTGAATAGCTTGTCCCGAGGGTTGGTACACCCCTGGTTGGAGAGGTAAAGATACAGGCGGTTGCGTCATATGGCATATAATGGGAAGCGCTAGTCCTCTCTTCTTTGTGTGTTGGGGTCACATTGTGGCAGATGAGACCTGTGATATACTATAACAATGCGAAGGGCAGTCGATAGGTCGAGTCTAGTGTATGTGCTCTCCAGCTTAGCACAAGGAGTGCCATGACCATTTTTATCTTTACATCTGACTGCAATACAGTCTGAGACAAAGAATTACCACTATTGAGACAGCATTGATATATTCCTAAGAAAATCACAACCAGTTGCCTTTGGAATACTAAATGCAACAGAGGATCAACTGGAAGAAAAACTGAAAAAACTTTTGGAAAAAAATTTTTAAAGGAACCCAGAGCTGAAATGGAAATACAGTTTGCTTTTATTTTTTGTCACTGAAGTGGTGGTAAATGAGAGATCTGCATCCGAAGACATCGTTGTGGATGTGCCCAAGCCTGAGAGTGTATATGCTTGTATAAAGTGCCCTCTAACATTCTTGGTTCTCACTGGCCATGACCACTGGCTGTTTTGCAATTCCCTGGGAATTTCTTGTATATCCTTGGAATAAATAATTTGATTTGCTTTGGAATTTGCAAGTACAGAAATTAACTACAAGATTTTCAAAGCCAGTTGCTGTTTATTCCCTCCATAAGACAAAGTATTGATTGGGTTTGTGTGCATATAGATAACATGTAAAGCAACTGGTATATACATGTGTTTGTACTGTGTGAAACAGACTTTAAAATAAAACCTTTCTTCTCTGAAGCCATGAATAGCAAATGCTGTATTTAGCAATTGTGAGCTCACAAAATACTATTTTCTTACTCTGTGTAAAATTTGGAATCCACTAAATTGATCTTCATAATATAAACAGTTCTTTTTTATATGAAAAAGTGAAGAGCTGAATAAATTACATTTGTTTGAAAATTTCCGGTAGGTCACATATCCTGAAGTGATACACTCAGCCAAATATTCATGAACACAGATGAGTTTCTGATAATTTTGCCTGTTGTGTATGTTCTAGATACACACATTACCAAAGTCTGCCTTTCTATATGTGGGTAAAACTCTTACTGTGTAGTCAGCCTAACAATGGCTGCGTATGTCTGAGCTAGATTTGCAATACATGTAGGTCAAGTAAATGACTTGTGAATTTAGTTCAGTGAACGATCATTGGTAGACACTCAGAAAAGAGACTGCCTGCAGGGGTAAGACATTCTTGTTAAATGATAGCCGTGTATCATTCCAGAGGAGAAAAGTACATGGGACTTGCATTAGCAATCTTGCTGTCTCCTGTACTGTTAGGGAGGCTTGCTCTGCAGTACACTCTCCTGTCAATTTAAGAGACCCCAAACTCAATCCTCATGACTGTCACATAGCCTTTTTTGTAGACCCCAGTATGCTCTTTAGAGAACCTAAGTATTTCTGAACATGCATACTATATTGTGGTAGGAACTTAATGAGTAAGTTGATGTAAGAATTTTAGGAAACAGCAGCTACTCAGAGGATTGGCTTCACCACAGATAGGAATGGAACGAGATGGCTTGCCTCTATATATTCACATCACAATAGTGAGAGACATAGCATTGAAAATGGAGATTGCTATCCCCTAGCAAATTGTTATGAGTTTAATAAAGTGCAAAATGCTGCACAAAGTTAATAGCTGATTTTAAAGTAAGTAGTGAGTATAAACTTTAGGTTTTAGGTAATGTAAGCATATTAATTCTGGTCATTTAGAAGCATAATGAACCTCAAGCCTTTTTACTATATCTAAGATTTTTAATCACAACACACTGTTACACATAAAATTTGTACTCTATCTTGATCTACCCAGAGAACTTCCATTAATTTTAATTGGAGATGCGCATGCAGATTACAGGGGAAAGAAGATCTCATTGTACTCATACTTTCTGTTGAGACAATCTGCAAAGTCAAGTTAATACTGAAGTTAGGATAAACCAAAATCAAAAGCGGGGAATGTGTTATTTAAAATATATTGGATTTTCCAAGTACTCTGACTACAATTGAATTTTGTATTAGGTATGTGTCCAAATAATAATCCTTACACTGAAGCTCCAAAGTCCATACTGAAGAATACAGCGCTAATTTTGACAAAAATGCTTTATATTAAAGATTGTATATATAGTAGTTGAAATGACTGAAAACAAATGGGTGCATGTTTATTAGTTACTATACAGAAAATCTTGTCATTTGGTACACTCATACTAGTGCTAGAGCACTGAACCTAACTCTTCTATTTTTAGGTTTTTAGCCCACAAGACTTCACTTTGATACAATTGAACGGTAATATTTTTAAAGAAAACCTATCAAGTATGCCTGGCTTTTTTTCTTAGCTGTAACAAAAAAGTGTTTTGTTGTGAAAATATATCTATTTTCCAAAGATGACTGATATCATTTGCCCTTCACTACCATTTATTTCACTTCACATACCTGTAGCTTAATATAATAAACTTTCTAATGAAACATGGGAAACACTTTGAAATTTTTTCCTTTGTTTTTCATTTGCTTAGGATGGATCTTGAAATAGCATGGGAAGTATAAAAAATGTTATCCTCACCCATGCTGGATCACCAAGTAATGTATTTTCTTTTCCCTCTTACAGAAAGCAGGTAGTTCATGAGATGCTTTGTGGAAAATCAAGGCTGATTTTGAACTGCTGAACTTCTGTGATTACTGACTGTTCCTGCAGGAATTAATGCTGTAAATGGGGTGATTCTTTCGAGCCTGTCTCTTGAATGCTTGAAGATTTAACCTTGAGAAAGATGGGGAGCTGAGTTGCCAGAAGCAAGGAATTTCTCCTTTTTAATAGGATAATAGCCTTTGATTAACCGTTAAAAAGCCAGTAACCAAAGTACAAACATGGCATAAAAGAGGATAACATTGTAATTTCTGTTTTGTAAATGTGACTCCTTAAGATGAATCTAAAATGCTGGCTTCAGATAGATAGTGTGGGAAATTGTTCTCTACTATCACAGTTTGATCAAGGATGAGAGATTTGGCATTAAGAACTAATCACAGAATCATAGAAACATAGAATGGTTTGGATGGGAAGGAGAGAAAGACCCAAGAGAATGAGCCAAGTCCTGCCTGTGACCCCCCCCCACCCCGTGGGAGGAAGCAGGGGAGCCCCGAGGGCTGGCCAGCAGCGCCGGGGTGTGGAGAGAGCCCCTGGGACTTT